TTGGGGGTGAGTGCTGGGGTGTTGTTGGTGACTGCTGCTGTGAAGCGTCACTCTTTGGGGCCCCAAACTCGGATGGAAATGGAGGCGGCGGCTGGAAGTTTCCGTTGCCCATCCATCCAGCATCAGAGCTTTGGCTGGAAGGGGGGAAAGGCTTGTTTGGAGGAAACCCCGGCTGTTGTTGTTTGTCATAAAAGCCGTGGGGACTCTGCTCCTCCGAGCTGGTGCTACTGTGCGACTTCCCATTCCAGGGTACTGAAGTGGTCTTACTGTTGCGAGCCCACTCTGAATACTGTGCTTGATCGTTAGCCTGAGGTCCAGGCATGGATGGGACCTGATTCCCCTCGTTCCCCTGCCAGGTTGAACGGCTGTCAGCCATGGATCCAGTTGGAGGGAACTCTCGACCGCGGCCTTGGTATCGTGTGCCAAACTGCTGTTGCTTGCGGAAGCCGGGTGTCTTCTCAAGCAGGGCTGGCTGGAAGGGGCGGAAACCACTCTGGTTTGCAAGCTCGTCCTGCGATGCATTTCTGGGCATGGATTCCGCACCCCCTCTTGTTCCATCTGACCTTTGATACTCTGACCTCTGACCCCAACGACCTCCCCTCTGACCTCCCCAGCCAGAGTCACTGGCTGAGGAATTGCTGTACTTTCGGTAGCCTTGATCCTGACGACTGTTTTGCTGCTGGAAGAAGTTTCCATCTCCCTGTCCGAGATTCACTTCGTCTGCATTCCACTCACCAATGCTGAAGTTAGAACTTCCGGAACTGTGCCGCTCACGGAAGTTGCCCTGTGGTTGGTACTCCTCTGACTGATGACGAAAACGCTGGGTGCCTTCCGGACGTTTCGGCGACTCCAGTTGCTCTTGCTTCGCTGAATTTCGCCACTGCTCGATGTTACCAAATGGGTCATCGTTGTTTCGGAAGTTTTGGGGCCGGTTGGATCCACGGGGTGGGCTGGGAAATGGGGGCTTGCTGCTCATCATCGGGAGGTTCTGTTCGTATGGCTTGGAGGGGGGTGGCACTGGAGGGTGCTGTACGGGAGGGGGCTGGGAGAAGATGTCGCGTTTTGGCCACATGGGACTATTCCCAGGGGTTCGACGGAAAGGTCTGCGAGGTTGTTGTTGTTGTAGAATTTGTTGTTGTTGCGGAGGAGGAGGTTTGGGTCCAGAGAGCAGCTCATCCCCACCAGACGACCAGATGGACTGGAAGTTAAACTTGTTCCTATCATGGTGAAGAGCATAAAGAATAATAATAAAATCAATATTTTGAAGATTTGTCCAAGTACATATTTCTAAATTCTAGCTTTCAAAAAAATAGTCAATTGTTAAAATATTTATTCCAGTCTCCAGGCAAAAACATTTGCACATATGTATTTACATAAACTAGATGTCATAAACATAAATCTCTAATTTACCAACATGACCTGTACTTGTAAGCTTGTAAGGGTAAACATACTATAAAGGTTTTTCAATCATAAAAACACTTACCCCTCCAAGCCGAAGGTGGAGTTACTCCCAAACACATCTGTGTCTCCATTCTGAGGCTGGCCACTGCTGACCGGTACATCATCATCAATGATCTTTGACACAAGGTCATCCAGAGCTCTCTTGTCCTGCGAACTGTTCAGGTCAGTTCCCCACAGCGGAGATGACAGGATGTCCGCAGGAGTTGCCTGGGCAACCACGGGCTCATCTTGTTGGGTCGACCACGGGGAGTAGAGGGAGACAGGGTCTGACTCACGAGGTTGGGGCGGGCTGGGAAACTGGGAAAAGGAAGGGGTGTCGAGGGGAGGGGAGAAGGGGTCATTGGAGGGGATGTGGTTGTGCTGCTGAGTTACCTGCAACCAAAAATGAGTACAGTCATAATATGAATGCTTCTTACACAACTGAACAAAAATACCACTGATACAGTTTATGGCAGTCTTATTCACATCACAGAATGTAGAACTCAAATTCAATTGTAAAATTCTTGATTACTTTCAATATTGCAGGTTATCTATAAATGAAAGAAAGCAATCTGAGCCCTAACAAAGAGACAATTTTTTAAAGGTATTTTTGCCAATAGTTGGGATAGAATGGGTCATAATTTTCTGGCATACAATTCTACACAGTACATACCACATTAACAAATGAAATATGTTATGATATAAATATTCATTCCTCAAAGGCACAAAAGCAGCATGATAACCAATCCAACATGACAAATCACTTGACCCTTGGGGATTTCTCTTGAAAAGAAGTATTGACATTCCCTGCCCTGTCCGCTTGCCCTACTTCCACAGGGGAAACTGTCCTCATCCCTACCTGGTAGTTATTGTTGCCATGGTGATGAGATGCTGGCCTGCTGAAGTGGTCGCCCACTGCTGTGTGGTCCTGCTGGTTGCCATGGTAACTAGGGTTGAATGGCTTGGCCCGTGGATTTGGAATGAAGGGCTGCTAGGGAGAGAATTGAGGTTGAGGAAATGGTACTTTTATGATCACAGCCAATCAGAAAACTACAAGGCACATGTAGGCCAAATTAGGGAAGTAATAAAATGTAAGTGCCACACTAAATATCTGATCTTGAAAGGCTTGAGATATTTGTTGCATTTTGTGTCATAAACAAAACTGTTTTACTTTCCCAAAAGTAGACTAATGATATAACTATTGATCACTGTTGGCCCTACTACAGTATTGATAAAACACTTTGATGAAGCAATCAAGAATACATACCTTACTATTACATTATTCTTGTTATTTAATTGCTGTAATTAAAATCTTGAGATGTACAATACACAATCAAGTAAAAATCTAGTACATGTAACTACTAACAGAATTTTGCTTGGATAATTTTCAACTTTTAACTAAAATTGGGACAGACAAAATTTACATCATGACATTTACAAAAATGTAAGATGCCATGGTGGTTAAAATAAGTTGATGGTCTCCATTAACGTTTTTGTTTAATCTGTCCCCATTTTGCACCAACTGGGGTATGAAAAAATAATTTCCTAAGCTAAGAAATAATGAAAATTGCCCACACAATTATTCTATAAACTACCAGTGACATAGTTAATAGAATCTATACCATATGTGCTATAAGATATTGACCTTACAAGGTACGGGTCACAGCGACAACTGTTTCTGTCAATCCACATTGTTTTCCCTCCTTCCATACAAACGCAAATTCGGCAAACAAATGAAATGTGTATTCGCAACAATAACCTAAGTGCAAAGACAAACAAACGTTTAATCCTCATGGGTTTTGAAAACATTCGCGATCATTTGTGAATCGTTGAGTTTTCGCGCCATATATTGTGTCTCAATATCTAAACTGAGAGCTAAATCCATGGGACGACATTTTTGTTGTGAGGAAGGGTGGGAGGGGGGCGAGGGACTTTAAAACCCCGCCATCCTTGTGTTGTGGCGTAGTCCAATGTCAATCTTGCCCAAATATTCACAAAACTATAAATCAATTATCCAACTGGTAAAAACGTTATGGAACAGTTGTTTAATCTCAGCGATCAGAGGTTGTTCAAATTGTCAAAGTAGGTCAGAGAGCTGGAAAATAAAGAGGGAGGGCGCCGTCCTAACACAAGATGTATCTAGGGTTTCATCCGTCGGACGACACAGATACAATTTCGCGCCTCAAATTTCCCCGGGATACCGGCAACTACCCACCGCTTGGTACACAATCAGCACCTGGTGCTCCGATCTACTGAATTTGACGAAAACTGAGGAGAATTTCTTGAGGGAAAGTTTTAATTTTCGTCCCAATTAATGCTGGGGAATTTTACATGATCGTCTCGAATGGGCGCCATTTTTCGAAAGCCACCAACGCAATATTTGGAATGACAACAGCCAACCGAGATCTCTCACAGAAAATACCCCTTTTCATGTGCAACTTTTACTAAGTTATTGCTCATGTGTGACATTTATTTAGACATTTGGATAAGTTTATATGAAGGAAATTCGACCAAATGTTATATTTAAAGCGCATATTTAAATCGCGATGGAAATCGTTCTGAACACTCACAACAACATTCGGCCGAGTACAAATCAGGGACACCATGCGGTTTGTCGGTCTGCTGTGTCAAACAGCAGCAAAGCAGCGTCTTGAATTTTAGTCAAGATGTCACCTAAAGGTCTCACCTGCACATTTCTGGAGTTTCCAGGGGCTTTCATGTGTCCTTGTGGGAGACTTGAGGCATGATGTGCGAGCTCCTGCCGCAGCGAGACCGCCATCTAGAACGGCATTTTCACTATTTGCATAATGCACAGTCACGGCCCCATACGTCAGCACTATTTACCTGATGAAAGGCAAGTAATTAGTAGTCAGGCTGATATTATTGCCATGTGGCGTTGCCATGGTGACGAAGATGGCGACAACATTTTAGTAGCTCCAAAATATAATGCTCTGACATTTTGTCATTTGGTTTTGCCGTTCATACAGACAAACCAATAGCATATGTGTCTATGCAGTTAACAATGATGTCGACATCGCAACAGTGGCAAATTTTAGGGACAAATGACTAAAACAAATCTGACGATAACGCTTCTTTCACTTCGTCCCAAAATCATCCACTAAATTGAGTTTGGTCGCGATTTGTCCAAAGAATTGTCATTTGCAGTTGCGAAGAAGTTATTCGGGTATGGGGTCTCTGGGATTGCCTGATAACGGCTGTTCTGTTTAACTCCCTCCGGTGAAGCCGTCCCACAGGTAACCCCAGAAACACCTGTGAGAGTTGCGAGATTCCGATATGGGACGACCTTTCTTCAAAAGATAAAAGTAACAGACCGATTCAGAATCAAAACAGCGTGTAGTGGTTTACTAGACCGCCGTTTCGGTGCCAGGAGACAGCAGGCGGCGTTTAAAAACACCGGCGCACCTGACAGCAGGTGTAAATACACGGGAGGGTAACTAAGGGGATGTGGAGGTCGCCAATCTCAATTGTTTACGTTCAGGCGATTTCAAAAGATGATCTACTTCGCTACTATAACAGTTCTAGTTGCCGAAACTGACGGAATTCGGTCTTTTTTTAGCAATTAGTTGAAAGTTGCAAGGCTGAGAAAGGTTTACTTTTATGCCAGTGTTTTATATCGCTGTTGTTATAAACAACCAATGCGAAAATAAACTGGGTCACAAAATCAATCAGCTGGCAACTCTTCTTCCAATGCCATGGCCATTTTCTGATGTTCCTTTAAAAACCCTCTAGATTTTTTCAATTGAAAATACCCCTGAAATGACCCCCTGTTGAGCCTTTTTTGGGCATAAATCTAGAGCGCCACTTGTTTGGACCGCAGGTATTTACGTAATATGTCACCTAGTAGACGACCTTAGCAAACATAACTGGGGAGGCATGTCAATACAACATTTCTGAAGTACCGCAGTAGTACAGGTCACTCCTACCTTTCAGATATTAATTAAATTGGTGGTCACATAAATAAAAGTTGTCATTACGGTATCATAGGGTAACAACAGAGAAGAATTGACTATCTAAAGTTTCTAAACGCACAAAACATGAGGGACCTGTATGTTTGTAATGTAAACGTTGAACCTTTAGGTTTGTTTACTTAAGTAAATAGATAATCCCCAATGATGAACGCGTACCGCATCCAGAGTTACTACCGTCTCTATCATTTCGAAATACGACAATATAGACCAGAAGTAAACGTGCATAAGAGTTCTCATTCTCAAATATTCTTGCTATGTGAACGTTCTACGGTTACGGTTATGGAACTAGGTCTTGGTAGATTGCTATGTGTTGATGGGATAACAACTTAGGACCGTCGGTATTGAACTATCAAGAATCAAGAGGAGAAGAATTTTTCGAAGCGAAAAAATTTAACGATATTGCCCTCCCATGGAGTGAATATAATTTGATAAGGTACGCGTAGTAAACCCCATGAAGTGAAGTAACTAAAACGACCGAAGAAGAGACTGTAGCCGCAACAGTGGCAATTTTTTTAAACTACGTAGGCTGCCGATTCACATGATTATAATATATACATGTACACTGATATGGAAACTGTGGCGTCCAAGCCCGATTGGTCCAGCTACCTATATCCAAAGCCTGTTATACTAGTACATGGGACAGAGATGGCAACGTGAGTCTGGGGGAAAATCAACTTGCGGTCGCCTGCATGTACTGCAGTTTCCCAGGGGTGATTATAATTTACCTGTTACCGTTGAAAAACACATTGTCAAGAAAGTCACCCCGAAAACGAGATGGCACGTGGTAGTAACGTTGTAGTGTCGTGTAGTGAACGTCTCAATATCCTGACAACCAATGTCCCAAGTTTTAGACTCCAGTAACCATAGCTATGCCACACTCACTTAACATGAAAGGGACCCTAACACAACAAAGCAGGTGTCACGCAAGGTCATGTTAACTCAGGTGAATCAAAAACAAGATGGCGGACCGTTAAAAACTGTCGTGGCATATATCCGTCTCACGACCATCCTGTGGTACTAGTAGAGATTTCTTCAAATAAGATCGTTGTGAGAAAATTGTGCACTTACTGGGTCACAGTTTGAGTCAACAAGAATGGACACTTGTGTGTGAAGATCTATTGTGCACCTGTACTCAGGTAAGGTTACCTACTACTAGTAGTATGTGATGTGTAACAGGTGACGGCCACGTATATAGCTAAGGCTGGGGAACACGTTTTCTACTAGCTGTTTGCAGTACCAAGAAATAAGCCAATTACAACAGTAACCTCTGTATAGTGTTGCTGGCGGTATAGAGAAAAAATATAACACAATCGTGAAAAAAAAACTTTGTAAAAAAAATTGTAGTTCATTCACATACATGAACAAAGACTCGTGGAGTACTTCTAATGGTCGTATATCTTTTTAGTTCATGGCAAAACCCTGAATTATGACATTTAAGGCCGAATAAAATTACAAGATGTGCATACGTACGTTCGGTAATTTGAGACACGTTCTTCAAAAACCTTATATTTCGCGATGTTTTTTTAATGGGCTTGGACCACCGGCGCTGTATCCACATGTATTGTGTGCTGAGATACTAGTAAGTCTTTGTCTTCTTTGTGTCAATGGAAGGTAAACCGAACTTAAGGGCTCTTTGTGGACTGTTCGGATGACACAGTATTATCAGATGACACAGCAGATTGCAACGTTACACAGACCTCTAGATCTCCACACCAGACGAAACCATGTCCGTACTTACATGTACCAGGAAGTGCAACAAGTTTAACTGTTTTTACATCCGGCAGATGAAATGACAAAAAAATACAATTCATTATAGGGAGATCAAAGAGCCCAAATTGTGTAATTGTAAATCTGCGAAATTTATATGGGGAACAAGTACGATTGTGTTTCAAATCTGAAAAAAATTACTTAAATCAAATATCACGATATTTGATATGTGGATAGCATGACGCTTGCGGTTTTCCTCGGCATTGCAGCTTCAAATATTCATCCGTATTTGAAACTTTTACAGTTTTGTGAATAAGTATATTATACGTATATTTTGAAAAAACACGTTGACGTTTGTGCAGGTACCGGAGAGCGCCCGATCATGCCCCGGCAGCTGAGGCCGGTGTGCGGGGTCCGCCTGCTGCTACTGGCACTTGGAACCTCCCTCATGATCACCTGTCTCGCACTGACGTACTGCGTGGGGAACATCGACAGGCAAGCAAAGTAGGTTCAACTCAGAGATGGCAGACTTCACCCCCTTTTCCCATATTGCTTTGCGACCAGTCTCTTTTTTTTGCCGGGCTGATCTTTCCCGACTCTACGGAGCTACCCGGCGGGGCATCGGTTTGGAAATGTGGCTATAACGTGGACAGATGCACTTTTCTTACCTGCTTTGACAAACTTGTAAACTTTGTATAAACTTGTACTTCTCTGTTTTGAAATATTTGAATATAAAAAGTTGTATTACATACAAATTGTGTTTCACCAATATTCATGTTTGTCAATTTCTGGATATAGTTAATACATTTATCTAAGTCTTCATTCTTTCATTACCAGAGAAGACCCGGCAGAGGAGGTGCAAGAAGACAGCGAAGAATTCGAAAGCAGAATCTGGGAACTGCATGACACAATTCAGGTACACTTCTTCTTAGAAAGACTTTGGCATTCTCTGTTGTAAAGAGAATGTGTGAAGCTGAACTAACTATCCATGATTGATATTGGTAGTACTTCAGTTCTTTTTAATGGTGTAACTAAAATGGAACAAATGTGTGCTAAGCTTAAAAATCATGTAATATTTGCTATGGACATTTAGAGGGTAAACTCATTTAAGTTTCTGAAGGATTTGCTTTTTCAAAGCTCATCTTGGAATATTTTCAGGAACTTGAAGAACAACTGACTGTGGAGAAGCAACGTGCATGTCCTACAGATATAAGTAAGTAAAACTAAAAAAATCATCAGAAATTTTAAGATTTATTTGCAAATGATATCCTGCATTCTTGTGAACATGCATGTGTAAGTCTTAACAGTTTACACACTTGTATGTTATGTACACATCTTACAATTTTAAGGCATTGTAGTATGGAATTGGAAAAAAAAGCAAAAATCTTGGAATTCAAAAGTGTCCCATTTAAGTCAACAAGGTGATTTAACCAAAATATATTGCTAAACTCTACTGCTTGTGTACTGTTGAACAGACCTGCCACAAACCAGGCCTGTCCGCACATGTAAGGAGAAGACCAACTTTGTCTTCATCAAGATGCACAAGTCGGGAAGCGAAACAATGACGTCACTCTTCCATCGCTATGGCGACGAACGGATGCTGGAGTTTGTCTTACCGAGGGGTGATGTCAACGATTGGTGAGACTTTGATTGGTTGTTTGGATGATAAGATTAGTAAAACTGTAACATGATGGATATCACTGTCTCAGGTCTATGTACATGTATGACATGACATTTCCCATCTAATTGAGGTGTTAAAAGTTGCTGCTCCATCTTGCTTCATTAAGTTGTTGATTCTATGTAATGGTTACATGTATATTCATTCCACTGTCACTTATTCCCAGCAAAGACATTGTATAATGTGTAATGCTGGGAGCAAGGACATTAATTCACGTCCTTGCTCACGGCCTGTAGGGAGACCATTTTGACCTTCCTGTCAATCTGCAGTTACACCATTTCCCCCTCATTTCCTATGACTCTACTGTACTCAAGAAAATATTCGCACTAAATGTCGAACACACCGAAAACAAAACATCCTTACACGGAGGTAATGAAACCCTTCTTTCTCACCCTATAGGTACCTTGGATGGCCTAAACCAATCACAAGAGACATCTACCGACCAGCTAAATCTGGAATGTTCAACATCATGTGTGAACATACCGTCTTTAACAAACCAGCCATGTCAAAGGTCATGCCTAAAGACGCAGTGTACATCACCATCTTGAGAGAACCTTTCGAACAATTCAAGTCGTCCTTCAAGTATCATCTCCTTCCAAAAATACTTGGCATTCCTGAAAACAGTGATGTCCTAGTTGAGTTTTTTAAACAGCCAGAAACCTATGATAACATCTACACTTCGAGCGCGGAGGAAGTACGAAAGGTTCGGACGGGAATTCCTGATGGTGTTTCTGTGACGCGAAACTTCATGGCACACGACCTCAGCTACCCAAGGGCACAATGGGAAAATTCAACCTACCTACAGGAATTCATCAAGTACATTGATAAAGAATTCATCTTGGTCATGATTTTGGAATATTTTGAGGAATCGCTCATACTTCTCAAACGTGCCATGTGTTGGGAGTTTCAGGACATTATTTACCACCCGTCCAATGTGGCAGCATACCCTTACAAGATAGACAGACGACAGAACCTTATAGATGCACATAGAAAGTTCAGCAAAGTCGACTATGCACTTTATCAACACTTCAACAGAACTTTTTGGGAAAAGATCAAACAAGGAGGACAGGATTTCAAGGAAGAGCTTGAAGCATTTCGTAAAATTCAAAGGGTGACGACCAGATACTGCGATAGTAAAAGGACAACGCCGCTCAGCTTCCCAAGTACGAAATGGAGCATGGAGGTGAGAATTACACGCCACTTCTGTTCAAGATACGGACTGGACACTGGCGGGTACTTAGACCATGTTCTGAAGAAAAGATATGATGGGATACTCACTTAGGCAGGACTTCTCAATGATACGGTGATAGAAAAGTACAGTGTGCATTTACCTTCTAGAAACATGAACTATTTTTGCATCACCTATTGGTGAAGAATAGTATATTTGGGACACCATACCCTCACACTTTGGTTTATCGTCTATTGTTCTCTGTATAGTGGAAATTAAACCCTCCTTTGTAAAAAAAACATCTTCATTAGCCAAGAGTTTGAAATGTATAAAGCAGTAATATTTTGGATTGTGCAAGGCCAACAAACCTTGTTCATTAGCATTTAGCAAAACCAGTTACTGTAGATGTTATTAGCTCACAATGCTTCTTTTTCTGGACTTTTACAAACTTTTACATAAATGACAGCTAATAGTTAAACCCCTGTAGAGTACACTAATTAATACCTGCCTTCAGTAAATGAGAGAGCAATTCAATATCTGTGGTACATTTGTTTGGTTTATTGGCCGCCATACAGGCATCCAAAACTGTACAATAAACTTCTGTTTACAAGGAGCTGAAACAATACTAATTTCTCATGTTGTAGTGGTCATTTCCTTTGTTTCCTTTGGTTCGGTCGGTGTGTAGTTGTAGCCAGTTTTCCTGTTCAGTTCTTCGTTTAGTTCCTCGAATTTGCGGATGGCTTCCTCGCTGGGCGTGGGTACGGGATCCTCGCTGTCCCAGGCACGGTCCCATGGGTTCTTCTTGCTCGTAGGGATGAACATGGTCCTGGGAAACACAAAAAGAGTCATTTCCACTGGAGGAAACCGTAAATGCATTTACCTTTGCAGTGGTACACTGGTACACTAGTACATGTACTGCTGAGCTAGTCAACAACCAGAAAAAACAGGTTACAGATTCTTAAATGTGAATTATTTAACAACAAATACATGATTGATACAGTAAAACCTGTAGAAGTGACCACCTCTATAGATGGACCACTTGGCCAATGTGATCACTTTTTAGTGGTCCCTTAGATTAATTCTGCATGCTTGTGTTAATGGGAAAAATTGTCTGTAGTGACCACCTATCTCCTGAGAGGTCTTCTCTGGCAGCTTTGACTGTACTCAAAGAAGAAGAAAGAAGTACAAACCTAATGACAGGTTCTTTAGGAGGAGCCCATGATGGGACAATCTTGGTGTGCATACGCCATGAGCTGTAAGGGTTGGGCAGGTGGCGCTCAAACACAACGTACTCCAGAACATCCTTCACCAGATTCTCATCTCCAAACTCCAGCCGCCCGAACTTGTCATAGATCGCCAAAGTCTGCAATACAGAAGTATAGATGGAAGACATTAACGGCACAGTCTGGAATTTGATTCAGATTTTAGTTTGCATGAAATTTTCCTGAAAGAAGACCAAGCTGTATGTTAAATGTCATCTGTATCAGACTGTTAAACAAATAGAATAGATCATTCCTGGCTCTCAATTACTCTAACAAAGGTAAATGCATTTAAAGGAAAAAAGAAGATTGACCTCTGACCTGTCTAGTGTGCATCCTGACGGTGACCTGCCCGTACACGTTGCCCTTGGTGATAAGGTCATTATGGCGTACATGAACGACCTTGGGAGGTTCTACCGACTCATGGAACGTCCAGTGGATGGTTCGGAACCGAAAACCCCTCACCATGTCCTAAGGGAACAACAGACAAGACCTATGATTTATTTTTACTTGGGAAAAGTGAAAAGCATTAAAAACAAGAAACCCTGTCAATCAACTGAAACTCAGTCTCTGCCCAATCAGTTCTAATCCTCACTACTACCTAATGTGCCTTTAAAAAACAACTGTAGAGTATGACTTACAGGGTAGCACTTCTCTGTAACCAGCTGATGCAGTCGATGTCTGTTTCTGGTGTTGAAACTGGGAAGTCAGAAAAAGTTTATTTCATGTTATTGGACCTTTTTTAATCAAAGTTGCTATAGATACAAACAGAATTCCTTTTATTATGATGTATAATCACATGGGCTATATAAAATTACTAATATTAATATTATTAGGTTTTTACTATTACTCTGGTGTCTGAAAGTTTAGATTAGAATAGAACTGACTTATGAGACAGAAAATAGTGAATGTAGGTATGTCAGAAAGCCTTTTTTCTTTACTTTTCCGACTACCGAGTTTCTTGGACAGCTGATAATTTTACCGGGGAGTTAAAGCAGTACATACTTAGCTAGACAGTCGTGTGCTTCTTTGTAGATCTCTTGAGCTGTCCCAGCAAATGCCTTCGTGCTGAACTCCTTGTCAAACTCCTTGATTTTCCTGACACTGTGAAGAAATGATTCAATAAAGACATATCAGCAACTCAAGTAACCACTTTGAAAAGTATAGCCACTAAGTAGTAAGATTGGGACACTTAGCATTTTGAGTCTGTTTTATACATATGTCAACTGTAATTCACTTAATGTTCGCAGTATCAAAGAATCAAGAAATCAAGTAAGTGTGGCCTATTATATTATAAACAGTATTAGACCAGACTTCTTCAATTTGTCAATGTGTCTGAAGACAGTTCTAACCTGATTTGTGAGGTGGCCAGAGCCTTGGCAGAGCTAAGACGTTGTACAGCCCCTTCCTTAGACAGGACCGACTGTCTGCCATCGCCTTCAGGTGGGATGTAGGGGTCCATCACTTCAGCTGGAGGGGGGGACGAAATCTTAACATCAGACTATGTCAAAGAAATACCTTATATATCAGGCTTCTACTAAATAGCAGCCTTTCTACTCACAAGGCCCCCTGAAGTAGAAGTCAGGAGAAACATCTTAATCCTGTTGTTTCATGAGTATGTCCCAACATCGACCAAATTTTTGTCAGACTGAGAATGGACTGTTACTGTGTGAGGCTGTCATGACTGGTTTCCATAGTGATGGAGAATCCTGAGATCCTATTGGACTGATTTTGTACAGTGATAACAAACCTGGTCTAAGTTCCTATTGGAAGTGTTAAAGGTTATAATGATTGGTTCCTAACTATAGTGACACAGAATCCTATATTACCTAAATTGATTTTTAAGTGATAACGCTCCTATTGGTAGTTTTAAGAATGGGAATGGTTTTCTGGGGTTACAGACTTAGATGGTACGGCCACCTCCAGAGAATGGACAGGGACAAATGGCCGAAGAGGATCCTCATACTGGATGTGGAGGGTCCAAACCCCCGTGGCCGCCCAGGAAGGAAATGGTATGACAACGTACGGGAGGACCTCCACCACCTGAACCTAGATAAAATTGACCCACAGGACAGAGACAAGTGGCGTGCAGCCATCAAGATGTATTGTGCAAGCACGTCTAACCCTCGGAAGACGGGGAACAACAGACGATAAACCGGACAGTAAGTGAGTGACAGAGGTATGGCCACAAGTTTTCAGAGAGGACTAATCAGCCTGACAGCTATAGAGACTGTGTAACACAGGCTATCAGCAAACTGTTAATATATATAGTGTTAATATTAATTTTTATTATGAGAATCTAGACTGACGTGTGCAGGAGATGTTGACTTGTCTGTCCAGTTTGTCGTCCGGGACGATGCCTTGTCGTTTCATCGCGGCGGCCGGATCCTCCATGAACTCCTTATTGCTCCGATTCGCCTGTTTCGGGATGAACATCCGCTTCTTGGTCCGCACGACCACGCAGGACGTGGGGGCTGCTGGGATATGTGGGCAGAGCACGGCCTGGAGACCCTGGAGGAAGGATGGAAGGAAAGAGATAGAAAGGATGAAATGAATGACTCTTCTTCCCCATATATTTCTACCTCTACACATGCAATATTTCTAGTAAGTGCTAGTAAGACCCTCTACTGTTACTACTGTTGTTGTTAGCCTGATAGGGCGTTCAGCTCAGTAAAAGCATACACATTTTGTAATTTGAATCCCGACAACCATATAAGTACAGAGCAATGTCACTACAAAAAATGTCACTGTGTCTATATCATTACCCATGGTTGTCATCCATTCACCGTCGATTTCTACAAGTAGTTCAAATGATATAACGTTATATATTTCGCTTGTGCCCTCCCCACCAAGGGAAAAGTCGTATATACAGTGTCAAACCAGAGCACCGTGAACCCACATTCAAGCCTTTGCTGACATGAAAAATACGTAAGAGTGACATGAGGAACGTACGAAATATTCTCACACATGCATGGCATTTTGCAGAGATGAAAATTACCTGGAAATGAGGACATCTTCGCGTCCTTACGACGGCTGAGAAAAACGTGGGCGCCGCCATTTTTGTTGCACTGCATATGGAGAACAGAGCCACCTAGCGGATAGAGTGGAACTGCAACTTTTTGGCAACGCCACAGGAATGAGTCGGTCTCAACGTTGCTTAGGTTTGAATGTTTGATTATAGTTCTGTGTTTGAAATTGCAGTTGAAAATACTATAAAATAACAGTACAAAAAGTCTGCTCATATACACAAAGATGGATGTTTATTTGTAATTTTTCTCTCATCAACAGAATACTAGTACCTCTGTGGTACTTTGTACGAGTCTAAAATACATCCATTGTACGTAATACGTAAAAATGTCGTGATTCTTACAACATAAATCTGTATGGTTTCCTCTATTTGTAGTATGATGACTCTAAAAACACTGTTTTTACTGTTCATGTAACTCAGCATATAGTTAACATACGTGTATCTTTTGCAAACTTAGGCATAAGTTAAGACATAAAACATTGTTAGGACTAATAAAACCAGAAGCCTTTACAAAATTGAGCTAAAATACATGTTAAGTTTACTTCTACAGGAACATTTTTCAGAAATGTATATAAATTGTTATATGTTTTGTTAAATTATATGAGTAAACATCTTATGTTGTTATGGGCCAATGTGCCTGAAATAAAGCAAATCATTTATTGAATTATAGCTGACCCAATAAGAATTTGGGTACATTTTGGGAATTGTGGGAACATCTAAAGTAACCATACCAACAGCCAGAACTTTAATTTGATTGGCCATGTTATAACACTGTCTTCATCTCAAGGCACTGATTGGTCAACCCAAACTGTCCCAAGACTTGGTGTTACAACTGCCCTGATTGGATGATCTGCTATCCTGCGGTGTTAGCAGTGATTGTGATTGAATATCCTGGGATGCTGCTGTCATCTGTTTCATGTCATGTCATCTTTTGTTGTCCTAGAATGTACATTGTTGTAACAACAGGAATGTCCACAACAAGGTCACGGAATGGCTGCCCTTGTACAAGGTCATCACCTGACCCTGTAGGCCCTGTTCAGCACCAGTTCCACATTGTCCCCTCCGTGAGAAAAACAGTCCAGAACGCAAACCAAACGGACATCTGACAACTCTTCCCGCGAGGGAAGTCCCAGGTCAGCGACCTCTGTGTCCTTGGCCACCCCGCCGTGATCCAACATGGCGAGGAACGACCCGTCGTGGTCATGGCTGTATGCTGTCCGGTGGGTGCGAAAGCTGACGGGGAAGAACAGTACCTCCACGGCAAGGTCGTTGTTTAACCCCAGGAGGGTGATGATGTAATAGCTCTCATCGTTAGGAACAGGCATGTCTTCTACTTCTGTAAGGAAAAGACGGAAATGGAATGTTTTTACTTTGTACCAAGGGAGTGATTGTTGTTTTTGTTTTGCCCGTCTGTCTGACGGTGCGTCTATGTGTGTGTGTGTGTGTGTGTGTGTGTGTGAGCGTGTGTTTCTGTGATTCCCAATGTACACAATACAGTGTTGCATTAAATCGTCAATGCTGCTGGTTTTATCTGTGGTGATGCTAGGGTCACAAAGTAGTTGAGTAAATGCACTGAAGTCAGCCATCTTGTTTTAAAATATCTGTTGTCAAACATGCCAGCAAACTGAAAAAGTTTGAATGCCATTTTGATCAGTGTGAAATACAATAAAGCCTACTAGTAGGAACATTTTTCATCTATTATAGTGTTCAGCATTTAGAAGACAGTACCAATGTTCAAGAGTTCAATTAATTACAGAAGCACCAATGCTGGGACTGACTTGAGTTGTGTTGTCTGTTGGGAGTGAGTTCGGAGGGTTGTAGGCGTAGTGCCTCCCTGGACAGGTCCGAGTGTTTGGGCTGCCAGACACGGGGCGTGGTCAGTGGGTGGAGCCGCCCTGTTGTTAGGCGTGGTAGGCTGGGTGGCAACTGGGTCACATCGACAGTCTGGAGGAACATGAGGATGATAAATTATGAATTTTTCAGATAAAAAATAATCCATTATATCAATGGCTATTCTGGCGAATCTAAAGTTTGAATGAAAGATCATCCGTATTGGTAGACTCCACAGGTTTTAATTCTGTCAACCTTTGTCAGATGTCCACTCACTGACTCTCTGGAAGTTGTAAGCGAGATGACATCAGGAGGGAATCAAAAGTGGCGTGTAGACAGAATCTACTACCATCACAGTTCAGAGAGGGTTTATGGGCCCTGATGTGGGAGATTCCATCTTCACGCCACTTTAGATTCACTCCTGACTTCTGTAGAGTTTATCCATCATTACAAAGTGTATACTGTACCAGAGCTTGATCTGCATTTTCCTTCTGTGGCTCCAGTTCAATGTCGATGTCCATCTCCCCGTCTGATGGCCCTGCTGCGGACTCCTGGTGTCCGGACGGCCCCTTTCCCCCGAGCGTCCGACCACGGGCAGGCCTCGCTCGTTTTCTCTTCACCTTCCTCTGGGGACCAGTGTCCTCTGACTCCTCTGGTTCCTCGAACACTCGTACCGCTTTTCTGGGGGGCAGGATTTAGGAGAAACATGACATTGATCAGTACCACTTAACCCTTAATGTCTGGTGTGATGATTTAGGATAAATATGATAACGATCAGTAGCACATAATATCTGTGGTCGTGATTAAGGATAAATATGGGTTTGATCAGTTGTTTGAACTTCTAAAGTAGTGATTTAAGATTAAAAGAAATATAGCATTGATCAGTTGTTTTTGATCTATGGAGTTTTGAAAATAAGCTAAGATCTGCCCCTACCTCATATCTTTTCTACCAGGCCTTTTCAGAAGGCTGACCGGCCGCCAGTCCAGATCCTTTGACCTTGCACGAGTCAAGGGTCCACCTGCGGCCGGCATCTCTGGTGACCTTTCCTGCGACCTTGACCTGAGCCTGGTGGAAATGGGGCTAAAGATGTCCTCCTCTGACGAGGAAAGGTCCTGACTGGTAGAGGGGACTAGTTTGGCACTGGTAGAGGCTGTCTGGGCTCCATTTTGCACTATTCTCTCATTCTGCAACTGTTCTCTGTTGTTCTGTAATTGTTCTGTATTATTTGGTCGCTGTCCTCTGTTATTCTGTCTTTCTCGTCTATTGTTCTGCTGTTGATCTCTGTGAAAAAAACAAGGTCTCTTTTAAAGCATCACAATCATGAAAAATCTAGAATCCTCAGTGCTACATGAACTCACACAAGACAAACATATGGGTATAACCTTATATGAGGAAAAGTATCATAGTGTAGATTTCAAGATGTTGTTCACCTCCACTTAGTTTTCAAGATGTTGTTTACTTTCTATTGTTGTTTACATCCCAAGAAGACTTCTGCAACATGATTGTACCTGTTTGTTATATCTGCTGGGTGTGGCACGTAGGTTACCATGGCGATGGTTCCCTGGACAACCAGCCTCTTCCCCTCACAGTAGTGCAGGGAGGACAACTCCAGGGGCAGGTGATGTAATGGGGTCACCTGGGGTCAGAAGTCAAAGGTTAACAACAGTTAGCATAGTGTCCATACGTAAACTTAAGGAATCGATGTCCTTTTCTATGGTCTAATGTATAATTCTAATCTTACATTAAAAATCTTCTTTTTCCTCTAAAATTTTTTAGAATTTTTGAATGTTCTGTAATGCCAGTTAAGTTTGTAGCACCTAAATTCCTTGCCATGAGGAAAAGAAAGTTTTCTGTATCTCTGAAATTCAAGTTCACAACAACAGCAACACAATGAAGATGCAAGCACTTAGAACTGTCTTAGAATCACACTTCACCTTGACATCTTTCTCTTCCCCTAGTCCGGCCTTGTACTCCTCCAGGGTTGGTGGGAGTGGTGGGTAACCATAGCAACCACCAATCACAGCACTCAGGGCACACTGCCTGGCCTTCCCACTCTGCAGCCAATCAGCAAGGTCGTGTAGGGCTTGTTCAGAACGGTATCCATGGTAACCATGGAACCCTGTAGTGTACACCTGTGTTGTGTTATAGAAGAAAGTTATATTGAAGATCTGGTAGAAAAGTTGACACTTACTGTACATGATCACAAAAAAGTTTCCATAAACAGAAAACAAATATACAGTACCTGACTCTCCCTGGTGGTCGTCAGGTAGACAAACTTCTTCTTCTCCCTTCCCACAGTGCTGTGCATGACTCTCATGTGCGTGGCGACCACGATGTGTCCAGCGGTGATGTTGTCGTGGATACCGGGTTGTGATGTGGCGAACAGCTGTAGAACCATGGGTTCTGCGCTGGTCTCATCCTTGAGGTGGACCCAGCGTGCCTGCCAGAACTGTGGGCAATTCGGTCGACGGAGCCTCTCCCATCTGGGAATAAAGTAAATACAGGCAATCAGAGATGGCAGACAGGAAAGTGATCTCAGTCCAGTTTTAGCTCACTGAAGAGCTAATCTGCCACTAGTCATGACAGAGAAGACAGACACTATGTACAGTATTTACAGGTTCATTGTACCAGGGAAATTCCCATAGCTCTTTTCAACAAGCACAACAAACAGTGGACTACAGCTTAACATCCCACCCTAAGGACTGCCACAGGGATTGGTCTGTTGGCTTTGGAAGGTGATTTTTCACAGAAAAAAGCTCCACCCCTGAGGCTTTGCAAAAAAAAAAACATCAGGTAGAAAGACAGAAAGATACAGTGAAGACTTCCTCCAACCCACCTGCCCACAAACGTACTCAGACCGAGCACATCCACGATCGCCTGATCCTCCGTCCCCGCTAACTCCGCGCTCCTCACAAAGTTGTACTTGATGTCGGGAAGCTCCCACTCAGGGTCCACATGTTCGCGGGGGACGACGGTCACCACGGCGGCGGGCTTGCGGGAGTTGATGTTGAGTTCGATGTTGAGGCAGGGAAGCTGGTTGTTGTGGAGCGCAGGGCGAGAGCGGAGGGTGAAACTGTGGCGAACGGTGTAGTTCTCTACTCTCACCGCCGCACCAACCTGGGTACAAGGAGTCATGTTAGTCTTCACCAGGCAAAGTACCTATGCAGCCAGTTATTGACAGTTATTCTTGCAAAATTCTACTTCCCATAACCCCTTAGGAGTACCTGGTACAGGCACACACGCACACAATAGAATGATCATTGTGCTTTTTTGACATTGTATAATGTTATCACTGACTGCAGATTTCTGTTCTTTTAGAATGTCTGTTTTGTGACCCTTCTTTGTTTTGAAAGAGAAAGGTTCTGGCAATAAACCTCTGCACATTAAGTACTCAACACACTTCAGAGAACGCAACTATCAGAAAGGCAGTTCTCACAGACAAGGCCACATAACACCCACCTCCAGTTGGTTGTACAGGGCAGGTACTGTGGAACCCCATAGCACCATGGAGGCTGTGCCTGATGAGTCTCCCAGCTCAATATAGCCCTGATATGTCCACTTTTCCTGTGTCAATCATCAAAAAAACAGTCATATGCATGCTGTTCAACTTGAAAAATGTGTAGTTATTCTCTTAAGCTGGTGAAGGTTAGACATCTAGGTGATAAGCTATGCCAATAAACAGTTACTCAAGCAACTTTATTCCAAAATCATATCCAGTTGCTTGAGTAACTGTTTTTTGGCAAATACTTCTCTTACCTTGTCCTTGCCGGGTTTTCCGTAGTGGTGGACCCTGGCTCGTGCCAGGACTCTGCCGACCACAGCCGGGTATGGGCGGCTCATGTTCTTGTACTTTGACGCCAGTCTGTTCAGCTCGATACGATCAATGTCTGCGTATGGATCATGGTTCTCGTCTTCTTCACCTGAGCATTGAGAGAGAAACTGGGAGTGTAAGAACCATTGCAAGCTAAGCTACTGGATTGAATCCTCTTGTTATTTTAGGTTTTCAAACTTTGATCAAATCCTGGATAGTGAGTGTGTAAGTGATGAAATATTGTTTAGTTTGTGCTCCAGTTTCCAGAAAAGGGGTTTTCATCCTCCTTCGGTCATTTTGACTGCCACAAACTGACTTTTTCGGGTCTTTTATGCTTTGCTAGTTTTGTATTCTAAGTTGCAGTTTGCAGTGGACCATACTGTCCTTTTTATCTATCAATAAACAAAGGATAAAGCTTCCACCCACATTGTTTGAGAGGTAGAATTGATTCTGAATATCTTTATCTGTGAATTAAGGACTGAGATGTGCATGATACAGACATCCACTTTTACATGACGAACCTTCCTGCTGTTCCCACTGCTCCCCATAGGGGTCCTCGTTGTTCCACAGGGGCAGGTAGTGGCCCCAGCGACTGGTGAGCGGGCGGTGGCCTGTCTCCGGGGGCAACGCATTCGACCAATCAGGAATGGCCCCTGGGTCATCTGTGGGAGTAAAATGAACCTGTCTTCATTTTACCTGCATAGCACTGAACCATTATACTTTAATCTTTAAGTTTAAGATTTTGATAAAAAAAGGTAAATTCAGATTGACCACAACCTACAGGTGGCTATAATCTTTAGCTGTACCTTGGTTGACCATAACTGCATCCTTAGATTAGTTAGAATGCCCAAATTAAATCTACATCCAAACTATCAGTATCACTTCCACTTGATTATTCCCCTCTCTTGCATTGCTTTTATAAAGGTATCAGCTCCTGAGGCATCGCCAAAAATAACAGTTCAGTTTCAAAAAAATTCAACTGTTTCATAATTATGTTTAACAAAACAGATGAACTTTCAAGCTAATGTACAATACAGTTACTGTATTTTGGTTATTTTTTTTGCGAAGCCTCAGGGGTGGAGGCATTTTAGAACCAAGTTGGTGTCTACAGTACCTGAGCTGAAGGTTCCCGTTCGAAACTTGACGTCCTTGATGATGATGAAGCTGTCCCCCGCCACGTCGCCCTCGTTATACCGCAGGGTCAGGTCATGTAAGGTCACCTGGCACCCTGCACACAGCTGGGAGAAATAGTCAGGTTAGATTGGACTGGCAGTTAATATAATTACTGTACATGTATAATTTGGATAATTATGATGAACCTACAAAAATTCTGTGAACTGAAACCCTTACAATTTGCTACCTGGCTAATGTGTGATTCATGATAACTTTACCTTTACCTAGTTCCATCCTCATACCTGAGGGTTGGAGGCTTTTGGGCTGCCTGGAAAATTATAATTACATCAGCAATGTTTTTACTGCAAAAAAATCATACTTTTTCACTAGCCTCTACCAGGCTTCAGGAGAAGGCTGGAATGAGTAGAAATTGGCCAAATAGAGAAAAATAACATGTCGGGGGAGTTGGTGCGCTAGAGAGTATAGTTTGCTGCACCCGGGTACTCTTTCCAGCTGCCTCTCGAAGCCTGGTAGAGGCTAGTAAAAAAGGAAGATTGCAGTAAAAACATTGCTGATGAACACTTTGCCCAAGATGCGATGTTCCTCCTTACCTCGTTCCTGTGGACCAGGTGGTTGAGTTTGGGACTCAGCAGACATTTGATCTTGTGAAGTCCGTCGGTTACGACAACGTCAAACACGTCCTGAGCCTCACCCGGGTCCTCTCCCGTCTCACCCTCAAAATCTGCGCCCTGGGAAATATGGGAAAAGGCAGACTTGGCTTTACTGCCTGACTAGAGCCCTATAACGTGTTGTAGGGTGAAGAAAGTGAGCACCTTAGGTGCGTAAAATTTAGAAGGTTCGCTAGCATATCAATATAAATCATTCATTTATTATTTGTGATCTCTGACTATGTGGATATGATGATTATTTGACTATACAGGGGTCTCCCCAAGCAATGAAACAAGGGCGCTGCGCCTCTCATAAACTTTTCAGCGCCTTTCATAAAATTTTCAAATGTAGGGTCTTCTCTTCGTATTTTTGCTTGTGTTAGCTTGGCTAATTCGTGAAATTTTGCTGATTTGGGGGCCAAGCGGCGTCACTATGCCCATCGGTATTGTCTGACAAAAGTTGTGAAAAGGCGCTACTTGAATAACAATAGTCCACTTTGCTACACAAAATCAATGTGTTTGGTAAAATGTTGACACCCTGCTGGCATTTGAAAATCCTATTTTCATGTAAACGATGCTAATTTCTCCATGAAATACAGCCCAAACAGTCAGAGAATAGATTTTAGGGGCTAGTATATGGCGATCGTAACGTGGAAAATCCCCTTTCAAAGTCGGCAACATGGAAGAAAAATAAATGACGAAAATCTTCCCTTCAAATGAGGAATCAGTGCTCCAACAAATTAAACATAGAGAGATGAACATTTTTTCTTTGTTGTGACCTTGGTGATAATCGGAGATGCCACAGCAAAGGCCTCATCATTGACGGGATTGCAGGAATGTTCGCCTTGGGAGAAGTCAGGAATACGTCAACACTTGACATGTGTCTTAATTACATGTATACTGGCCTTGGAACACCCGCTCTAAGGAATGGATTTTTATTTTGCGAAACACGAGGATAGTCTGATAACACAAGATATTGTAAGTGTACATTGTCAGTGTCGACGTGCATATTTTGTATGTGAAACAAGAAAATTGTGGTTTGGATGTATTGTAGAAGCCGTTGATCAATCAGGTGTGTGCGTGGTACAGGCACTTCCTGGTTACTAGCTGTGCGTCAGTGGCAAATGGACAGGGTCAGGGGTCAACGTTCTGTCTTTTCCTCTGCATTACCGCACGTAGTCAAGTCAATGTGGTGTATAGCCTCTTGTACAAGTTATACATATGTTCAAATGGCGAAGTGTTGATTTGATATGACCTTAATTAAGCTCAGGGGAAAACAACCTATGGGGAAAACAATCTTTTATGTTGGAGGGTCGACTGGAAATTAACTTGATAGACCCAAATAATTGAAGTGTTGATTTTGAATGACCTTATATTGTGGGGGAATATAGAAAGGCATAGTAAGTGTACGCCAGAAAGGAATTATTCAAGCAACTGGATATGATTTTTGGAAAGGGAAAACAGTACTAGTCAAAATGTCACTCAACAACAATGCACAACATCTTCCTACCCTATAACACACTGCGTTGCCAAGGTGTTTTCAACACCACACTTGTTATACTTTGTATACTCCTTATTTGTATTCTATTGGGCTTGACTTTTCTGCCTTCTAAGTTAGTCAGATTTTCAACTCAAGTTCCAGGAGAAGGCTTCAAATTTCAATTCAGAAGGGCAAAATGCAACAGCCTCTCCCCCCCTCATAGCCGCGCTATAAACGCGCGGCAACGTGCGCTACGCGCCCAACTTAACAACATTAGCACCTCTCCCAAAAAAATTTCTGGGGAGACCCCTGCTATAAAATAATAAATTATAATACATGTGTAATAACAAAGTAGACTATTTCTGATTCAGCACTGAAATATTCTACAATGTCGACCTTATATATAACTGCATGGTGTCTAAAATAGATTAGAACATTTTTATTATTATAATTTTTCAACAAATTAATTATAATAATTAAACAATGATAAGTTTAATGATTATCATCAACACAACAACAACATTATATTGATCTTAGTACATGTATTAGGAAATCAATAGGCAAAAAAAAACAACAGACGAAGAAGTCTTTGAACTTACCAGCAGGTACCGATAGACTGCCAACACGGAGGCGGGGACAGGAGCCAAGGACTGCCGCTGACGCTCCGCTTGTCGAACCCGCTCTTTCAACTCCGCTATCGGGACGTCCTGCGGCTCAACAAAACTTTCAGACATGTTTCAGATATCAACGCGTAATTCGGAGAGTTTTATGTCAGTTTGTGGCTTGAAATACTTATAAAAACGGCAGTCAAAACGACCGAAGGAGGATGAAAACAAATTTGACTGGCCGCCATTTTCAAAACTGCCACCAGTGGGTCAAAGGTTGTGCAGCGATGCCGCCTGGCGGATTTATTCAGTACTGCAGTACACGCAGAGATTTGTGGGATAGCTACAGCCGCTATTCCGTGATTTTGTGGGAAGGTAAGTCGAGATTTTAGGGTAATTTTGTGCGCATCGGTGGCTAGGGTTGGTAAAAACTAACAGAGAATAACTTATTGATGTCTTTAGAAGAGTTATTGATTACATTTTGCGTTGTTTCAGAGCAAATGTGTCCAAAAACTTAAGAAGCCCTGCGGGTAACGGTACACCAGAACAAAAGATTTTGGCCGGTGGGGAGGGGGGCACCATGCGTGCACTTTTTTTATGGTATTATTATAAAAACTTAAGTACAATCAAACCTGTTATATTTAGTTACCATACGTCTAGATCATGCTGATCAACTTTTGGGCATCGGATATTCCGATAACTTCTCAGATGAAATTATGCAAATGAGGTAAAATGAAGTGTGTAAACTAAAAGTAAACCCAGCTAAGAGACAGATGGAAATATTATGTACTTATGTACATTAAGTTGATTTATATAAATTATAGCAATCACGAACACTGTAAGTGTGGATCTGAATTTACATATAATAGTATACAGATGTAGCCAAGGCTGCTCAATTCCTGGTAGCTATACTACTACACTGTATAGCCTGAGGCAAAAAATCATACAAGTGATCGCTGTGTTTGTTTACATGAATTTGTAAGCATAAGTATTGCTGACGTTCATATTACTAAATAGTAGTCATGGTATCTGCATCTGTATAACTGGTATAACAATTTATGTGAAAGAGTTACTAACTTATCTGTTCATCTCCCCAGGTTTCAGCACAGAGACCTTTCCCTTCCACCAGTGCAGTTTCGCAGCCAAGTTATGTCACGTTAGTATAATATTCATTCATTCATTCCTTCATTCACTCACTCACTTCTTTGGTTCTCAGACATTATGATACAATAAATATTAATGAGAGAAGATGACAACAGAGGGCTGGGAAGACACCTTGATAAGTTGATCTCTGCAGTTTTACTTAAAACCACTAGGTGCATTGTTGAAATCAAGCTATCTTGCTATTCTATGCAACATGTTTTAGTCAAATTACCAGTACTGTAATATTTAGAAATTTTGAATAATATCTATTTAAGATGTTTGTGCATTCTCATCGATCAGATAATAATTTTCTAAAAACGTACATATGTCTCCACAGAGAGGTCGACTCCACGTCCTGGAGCTTTGCAGAACAATGTGAGTCGCTGTGTCGTGTGTCGGTTTTTTTTACAACAGTGTTTGAAGAATTTTATTGTCTAATTGGTAGTGGAAGTTTTTTTTCTCATAGACTTTTTCAGGGTTAGCGTGTCATATGTCTCCCCCTCCTCTGGGTAGCACAGATGTTTTTTTATTGTTTTGGATGGGTTGTGGGTTTGTGTGTATGTTTCTCCAGAGTAGGTTGACAGCACCTGGGTAGGGGAAAGATTGATAGGCAGAATGGCAGGTCACGAGGTGAACTTGAAGGTCCCAGAGTCTGTCTGTGAGCCAGCAAAAATGAGGGGCCAACATCATGGAAGCCAAGGATTGCATGAGGGACCCTCTATGAACAATGATGCAAGCACTATGTGTGAAGTCTAACTGTGAAAAGTCTATTGTGTCTATTGTCTAATGTGCTCAGGTTATGGAGCCAAAGAACACAAAAATGATGTAAATGTGTATGAAAGAAGTCTCGAGAAAGAGCAATTGAAATTATTCTTTTGGGGTGGTCTAAGTAAGATATCATTAGCATTATAGTTTTATACAAACTCTAATTTAGGTTTTCATTCCTATATATTGTACAAACAAAGTCTGTGACTGTATAGTACAATATTGTTGATATCTACCAGAATTGTAAGATTTTAAGGATGCTGTTTATTTTCACACATACGGTACAGATTGACATCTTTATGTATTATGCACGAGGATGGCAGACAATTATAGTATGAAATATTTATGGCCTGATTGCGGATGATTTTGGAGTGACGTGCTTTATATTGTCGGGGTCTAGATGCCGTTTACAACGACTGCACACGGGAACCCTGCCTACAACCCTATCCGCTTTACCGGCATGCCTACCATCAAGGTGAGTTTAACATTCAACTTTTGAAAAATATCCATTAAAAAAAAAATAGTCAAATGAAGTTAAAATGTGTATTGTATGTAGGAAAGTCTCTAGGCTATAAAGAACAATGAATGCAAAATGCTGAGATTTTTTTTGGCATATAACTACTGTTACATGACAATTTCAATACTTGCATGCACAAGACCACACAACACAGAATTGAGGCTGCCTTTTGTTATTGTCCCTGTAGTTGAAATAGAAATATATTACCCTTGAGATTTTATGTATACATTTACTGTAACATCGATGACACATGTGATATCAATTTACGAGCTGATTTGTTTGTTTGCGTTTGAATAGAATGATCATGATGATTCCTGCTATTTCATGTGGTTAGTATTAGTTAAAGCCTGGTTATAGTAAACTGATGCTATCATAGTATAAGTAACAAAATACACAGAAGACATGTACGATTTGCTTTCTGTTGTTGGTGACTGGTATTTTGTTTTCATGCATTTAAATATGCATTTTTTTTGTGGTTACATATAACAGTTTTTTCTAATGTTACAATGGACTCTGTTCATAAACTTAGCATTCAAATCAAACTTGATGTACAAACAGTGCAAACATGGGAATAGTGCTGCATACCGGTTCACTGGACTTGGATCCGGACTTGTAAGAATGTTTAGGTTCAAGTCCAAAAAACCCTAAAAGTCAAGAACCGAGTCCGGACTTATTACCATAAAAGACCATTTCACATACCCATTTTCTTTCCATACCACCTAAAACCTTCCGTAGATTTTAAAATCTTTGCTGCAAAACGAAGAAAACATTGCCATCGGGCATCGTCAAGTACCGGCCTCCATGTTATGTGGCCAAAGTTTCACCCAGACAACATTGCAAGTTTGCCAACATTCAATTTTGTATATGCCAATATGCTACAAAATATCTTCTGAATTTTCATGAACAGTCTTAGGATCTTAGCCATATGTTTTTTATAGACGCAGTAAATGGTTACGGATACATGATAAACAGATAAGATCCACAGTCATCTTAATCTCACCTGAAGTTCCACCCGTGTCATCCCTTCATGTTTTCTGAAACACTTGTACTTTGGCTTCCATTCAGGATGAAACTCAAACTGTATATGAACTTAGAAGGCAATCCCAATTGATGTCCTTGCTTCTCGGTCACAACATTTTGTAGTAAAACTTAAGCATGAAAACAAGTTAAGTCAGATGATAATTTAGTACCTTCCCTGAAATTGTTTATCGTTACGTGTACAAGACTCCATCCTCAGACTCTGGTTTCATGTTGATTGTGTTGTTCAGCATGACTTTTGTTGAAAACTAAGAACCAACCGACAAAATTGATGCGGCCAAAGAGAGAGATTAGGAATACCTAGCTGGGTGCCACACCTGTGTTAGACAGGTTCTGGATAGTATCATCCACTCACCGATCTCTTTGTCACGCACATGGCCCCATGTCACCTGACTCATCCTTCAACTGTCTATCTCTATTGTTACCGTGAACAATACACCAGACAGATGGCCTTGGGATGCTTGTTGTTTGTTTGTTTGTTTTCAACAGAGAAATCAACACATCAGTTCACATGTACATGTATGATTTATGTTTAATTTGTCTGCGTGATGTCTTTCAACATTGTTGTATCACTGATATTAAGAGAGTGTGTAAACTTCAATGTTTTACTTTTTTCTTTGTTCTTTGTCGTGTCTTTTTGACTTAAAGGGAATACCTTATCCAACCTGAAATGGGTAGATTTTTGAGCCCTACGTTCATACAAGAAGCGGTGGGTTCTCATAATTTTCCTCTGCATTGAAGTGGAAGAGAATGAATAGACCAGGGGAAAAAATAAAAGACCCTTTCATGTTGGTAATCCATAGCGGGCCAGACCAGCTACGTCAATTGTTTCTCACATCTTTGTCATTGAAAACAAATTTCGATTACATAACAATATTCAAGATGTAAAGTTGTAAATATTGAAAAAATAAGCTTCAGATGTTGTAGCTTTCCTCGTCTGTAAGTTTGCGTCCTTAAAAAAGATACATATTTGGTGAATATTATTTAGAAAGACACATCCTGTATACCTGTCTGACTTGTTCACACACAAAGGGCAGGTAGAGCATTGCCTGTGGCTATTCCAACCAACCCATAATTGCTCTAATTAAGCGAAGTCAGTTCTAGAATAGAAGCCAGGCCGCTTTAGACCAGTCGCGCCATGCAACAAAGCGGCAGGCAGCATTCGCTCGGGTCGCGGGCTAACATGGAAAGCAACGCGGCCTGGGCGCGGGAGGTCTGGCTACGATACTCGTACCTGGAACAGCGCCGTATGCAGGTAGGGAAGAAAAAGAGGAATACTGGTGGTGTTTTTTAGACAGTCCGCTGGCTGGACATGTTGTTCTCACTGACTTGTTGGTTCAGCCATTGTGGAACAGTCTTCGGGGTTTCTCACATATATAGGAAGCTGGCTGAATTTTCTCCTTGTACATGTACATTCAAATACCGACAAAAGGATAAAGTCATGAATGTATCCACTATCCAAAAAGAAAACAACAACACAATGGAAGGGTTTGGGGCACCGAGTTTGATTCAGAAATTCAGGTTGGATTGAAGATATTCAAATTAGCTGGGGACAGTGTATGTACATGTACATGTACCTTTTGTTGTCTGAGCAAAGATGGAGCCATGTTGCATGACATAAATGTCCACCGTATGGTACAGCAAAGAAAGAAGTTGTTATGATAGGATAAGACTGGTATAAAATTCTGTCTATTGCAAATGGTGCTATGAGCCTGCTTGACCATTGTTCATGCTAAACCTTGGTGTAGAATACAACAAAGGAAGGACATGTGAGTGAAGTAAATGTATAGCATGAGGTATACAAAGACCATGTAGACAAGGACAGGTGGGAGGGCAATATGATAATGTACATGTAGAATATCAATATACAATGTAATTGTGTACCCTTTACCCAATAAACTATAATACCAATCTTAACATTTTATTATTAATATCTTAGATCTATATCTTATGTTCATATCAGCTATGTACATGTATTGTAAACCTTTACCCAGATTTTCAGTTGTTGTCCCTAACAAAAAAAAAAGGAAACACACAGACAACACATTATACACAAAGGGTGTAGACATTATGTTACTAGTAGAACAATGAAGTGTTAGGGTTTGGAGCAGACAATGTGTATTCTGTTGCCAGAGACTAAAGAGTAGCTGTACTGTGGTGCATGGGTTTTACTTGTATCTTTTGGCGCATTCATCTGTAGCTTGTATAACTGCCATTCGGCTATTTGCAGACATGAAACAATGGCTGCTTACATCAAACAACCTGTCACACCTAACCTTTGTAGATCTAACTGTTAGGCATTGTTTAAACTACTGTATGTAGTAAAGATACCCTGACTGTACTTGGTGGCAATGGCTCTATCCACACCAAAATAGTGTCACTGTTAGTGTTAGTGTTAGGAAATACAAACTGTAGTGTCAAGATATTGACTACATGTAGCTGTACCAGATACCAGGTGTTAATACAGGTGTGGCTGCCAGGTGTTCAACTACAGGTGTGACGATGACCAGTCCCTGTCCTTGGTTTCCATGGGACTGGATGATGTATTGTTGACAGTTTAGGGTATACAATGTACTTTTAAAAAATATTGTTTTCTTCCATAATGATTGATTTGCTAAAAAACGTTCTCTAGGATAGGGATTCACAGGAATACTACAGTTTGTGTAAAACATTAAAAGAATCATGTGGTTCTCTCACAGATATTATACAGTAATATATTTAGAAAGTGCATCATATATATGTCCACGACTACACAGAAGAACACAGCATTTTACATCATAGAAGTAATACAATCAATCTTCTCTGATGTCTTTTTGAAGCAGTATGTTCTCTAATTGAATTACATTGTATTCCCCAGTAATTGGCTAGCCTCACAAATATAATTATCAAGCCTGCACCATGCACAGCCATTATGACATTATATAAGGTCTCATTTCTCTATGATATAGACTAAAATACTTACTAAGTAGTTCAGTCTAAAAATGACCAGGCCCAAAAAATGAAGTGGCTGACCATAGTTAGATTAATCCCGTTAATGTTGCAAAATTGTAGGCTGAAAGAAAATTTTTTGACATATTAATAAAGTACACATACTTTTGATTTGAAAGGGAATAAAATATTTCAATAGAAACTCTGCTTGTTGCAGATATACATGTATGGTCTTCAAATCTAAATGAATTTACAATGTTTTGCCTCAATCAGGACCCCATATGTACATTTACCTAACATGTTGTGTATACAGTACTCTGTGTCCAACATCCAGAAACTTACAGTAAAAATTGAATGATAGTTTGTCTCAACCAGGACCCCATAGGTGTATTTTTTTCTAACCCACATGTATTTTTGTTGTTGTCCAACTCCAGGGTGGTCAAGTGGAGATGCCCAAGCCCCCAAAACCCCCCGACAAACCACTGATGCCTTATATGAGGTTCAGTAGGAAGGTGAGTAAAAAGGTGATTCGGAGGGAGGCTTGATCCTTCTCTTTTATACCTCTTCTGCACACGGGAAAACCAAGTCATCAAGCTGATTCACAGATCTCTCTCACTCTGTTCTCTTCTGCTAAAATCATATCATTGGATTGATACAATAAATGAAGACTACATGTCATGAAATTTATCAAAATACTATGAATCATACTTGTGAATATAAATAAGGTTTGTGGACTTCAATGATTCCTATGATTTGAACATTGCGAAAATACTAAAAATGGTATAAGTACATTTTGTATTGCTTTTTAGATAATAAGCATTCTTGCAAACAGCTTTTTTGACTGTGTGCATGTTTATTGATTGCAAGTCATGATCATTATTACTGGGGTAAGATAAACTCCAATTAATAGCTTTAAATGCATGTCATAATGCTTGCTGCATTTCTTGCGCTTGCAATGCAGAATTGAGATATGGACGATCTGTGAACCCCCTGATGGTATTGGCCATGCCTGGAGTAGCTTTAGTGTAGAATAGATTGTAGTAGTGTAGACTAGATTGTAGTAGAGTAGACTAGAGGTAGTAGTGTAGAATAGATTGTAGTAATTTGTAGACTAGATTGTAGTAGTGTAGACTAGATTGTAGTAGCGTAGAGTAGAGGTAGTAGTGTGGACTAGAGGTAGTACTAGTAGTGTAGAAAAGATTGTAGGTTGAGTGTAGACTACATTGAAAGCCCTTGGGCCACACAGAGCCACTACAGCAAGGTGCTAGTCCACTTGTAATGGTGTCGGTTCAACTCTCATAATTGCTGAAGAAAAAGCAATGTTGATCATTTTCAAACTCTTTTCATTACCTTCTTGCTGCTGCTTTATGCTGAAAGTGATCCAAATTTGGTGCCAAAAAGTTTAGCCATTGACTGGCAGGTTTGAACTTGTTGCGAAGCGAACGCTCGACCCGCTAGGCTGTTGCAGCGGCCCTGGTGTACTGAAGTGCATGTATTACCCTTTTGTGCTGTGCTGTGTCGAAGGTTTGGGAGCAGGTGAAGGCCCAGCACCCCGACCTCAAGCTATGGGAGATCGGCAAGATTATCGGCCAGATGTGGAGGGACCTCACCGAGGAGAAAAAACAGGAATACCTGGACGACTATGAAGCTGAGAAGGTAGGAAATGTTTGGGGTGTCTTGTTCCAAAGACCTTTGTTCAATTCCAGCTCGAAATATATTATGAAAATATTTTGTATAATTACATGTAGTTTTTTAGAAATTATTATTACATGACTTTATGAAAAACATTTGATTCTGCCATGTTTTTCAGATTGAGTACAATGAGAACATGAAGGCATACCACAACTCTCCTGCCTACCAGGCCTATGTGGCAGCCAAGGACAGAGGTGTGTTACTGTTTGCTGTGACATAATTCTGCAGTACATGTAGGAGGAGACAGGAGGCGTTATTTAGTTGAATCACCTGATGTAATGTAACATAATGTAAGACATATCTAACATATTAAACAGTATTTGTTTTTTTCTCTTTATGTCATTTTAAATGGACAGGTAGAACAAGTTAACAGCTACCAAAATGTGTTGGTCTGTCTGTGTCCTTTTTGTTGATTTGTTTCTTTGTTTATTTACAGCGGAGAGTTTACAGCAGCAGATGCAGCAGCAGCAACAGCGCGAGCGACAGAAGCAGGAGGCACGACAGTCCATCCAGCCTGCCGAGGACGAGGATGGTAAGAGAAGGTTGCGGGCTTCCAGGCTACGCCATGCCACACCAAACTGTGTCCTTTGTGTCATTTCACCCATATTTTCCTTTCTATATATACCAGCTTTTCTATTCTCACCTCCATGCTCAATCCCTGCTTTGCATGAGTACATAATATAAAGTCTGTGCCAATTCTGACATTGACTCCATAGTTACATTAGTAAGTTTAACAATGCCCGCCAGCTTTTAACCCATTTCAGCCCAGGTATATGTTGTACATCTATAGAGAAAGTAAAAGAAATATTTATTGTAGATTTACTTTTACAATTATGTGTATCTCCCATTTGTTGCATGCCTTCAATTCTACTCAGCCACAAAACATCTGCAAGATACCCATCAAATAAATAGCATTGATTTAAACTAATCTATTTTTCCTGCCTTTCATCAGCTTAAATCATGGTTACTGATCATGATATCCTCAGACATTTCATGCAGTCATCTTCTCATCTTCCTGTGGTCTTTCCTTTTTTTGGGGGCAACCCTCAGGGGAGCCTCTACTTTCTTTTTATCTTTTTTTTTAATGGTGCTACAGTCGACAGGGTTCTTGCCTCCCAGGCTGACCCATCTTTTCTTCCAGCTTCTTATAATTACATCATGAAACAGAGATGATCATTTATCACATTATTCTACTCTGCTTTTTTTTCTTTATCTGTGAGCAGCAACTGACCACAAAACAAAGTTGTCATTGACATTTGATCCTTATGTACAAAGGGTGTAATTAAAATGTACTGAATACTAGTCAGTTGCTGCTCTTAGAATGTAAGATTATTTTCACTATTTCTGGTGGAAAACAATGAACTTTTATGATCATTTTCTTACTTGAATTGTTGAATACCACCTTTGATTCTTCCTTCCGACAGTATTTATTTCTCACACATGTACTCTTGTGGGTTTAACGGATTCTTTCCATTTCCAGGGGTCTGATCTCAAAACATTACCTCCGCACTTCAGTTTATGCCTTCTGTCCTTTTCATTTTCCTCAATGCTAAAAGATGTGTCCTCAATGCTAAAAAGAGGTGTCTTAAGAATTCTTGGTCCACTAAATTCTCTCTCCTTCAACCAATATGTAACTGTGGCAACTGTTAATCTCAGAAATTGCAAATCTTGACCGTCACAATGTTACATTGTAGGCAAGTTAAGTGAAAATTGTCTTCAGGCATAGAATTTGGGCAAACAATCTTAGTGCATAGGTAGTAAAGGTCAATCTTAAGAAAAGTTAAGTGTTCGTCAGCAGTGCTTGTACAACTGTATGTGTGTGGCTCGAGGGCTATAGGAACAGGGATTGTCACCGCCCTATACACTGCAAGGAGTGGGAAGGAAATTTAACTAAAAAACATGAATTTTTGAGAACGTTCCCACAAGAAAACTTGAAGGTAATGTTTTGAGATGCCCCCGCCCCCCTCCCCCTTCGAGACTTACATATGAAGGGGTTCTGTCTTGTTGTGTGTACAGTTAGCCTGAGTATCCAGCCGGCTGAGGACAAGGATGGTAGGGCGCGCTTCCTTACCACATACGTCAGTGTCTGTAGTGTAATGCCTGCGACAGATAGACTAAGTAGTGTACAGGGACTTGTGTACAGGGTTTTCTGACAAGGCTCTTTCTTACAAAACATTCCTAGAACACAAACTTTATATCTACACTACATGTATTTACTCTCAAACAACTTGACAAGTAATCCTCTTCTTAGAAGCATCATAGTTGATTCAATATAGTCATCAGGAGTCAGATTGTCCACATAAAAGAAAGCCCTGTATACAGTAACTAACTGTAGAGATACTGTCCCTATAGAAATGTACTCATTCTTTTTATACCTACAATTTTACAAAGACTTTTCTTATTCATTCTTGTCTTACTTGATACTTTTCTTGCGAGAAACATCCGTCAAGGGAGCCTGAGAAAAATTCTAGTCTGGACTGCCAACTTATTGCAAATCTCTTTTATATGGAAGAATCTCTACATTTTTCCTTGAGAAACAAGAACTTTTTTATCCCCCCTCCCCTCACTACACTCATTTCTTGTCAGGGAGTGAAAATGGATGCAACATGATTTGAACTTCAATATAAAAAGTCATTTCTTCAAACCCATAAATACAGCCCCCCTCCCCATTTTTTGGTTGTCACAGTTTGTAGAATGATGCTATATGTACTTGAGAAACAAGGAAATTGTCTAACACCCCACAATCCTCTCTAGTATCTGAAAAACAATTTATATTTGGCCCAGTAGCCCCCTCTTGTTGATTTTGAATGATCTTGATGCTCCCCTCCCCTCACTACAGAATCTTTTCAAATAGGTTGCCTGGAGTCTCATGACAATGTTTTTCAGATTACGATGATGGCTTCTCGGTCAAGCACATCGCCACCGCCCGCTACCAGCGCAATCATCGCCTCATGAACGAGATTTTCAGCGAGGCCGCCGTGCCTGACGTCCGTACCGTGGTGACCAGCGCTCGGATGAACGTCCTCAAACGCCAGGTCCAGTCTCTTATGGTCCACCAGGTTCGTTTTCCAGTTTTATTAAGAAAATCAGGCTCGCAGAATGAGGTACATGTACAACAAGCTGAATTGCACTGATTTTTACACTTGTATGTGGGAGAATGTCAACTGGCATACAAAAAGAACACACAAGCAACATTATACAAAATGCCTAACTATGGGCGCAAAGTAACAAGAACCTTAAGAGGCTATGTATGTTTTTCTTTGTGGTTTTAGCACGATAACTCAAGAAGGTATGGATGGATTGTCATGAAAATTAGTAGGTGATTAGGTCTTGACCTGTTGAAGGAATAAATAGATTTTGGACTACCTGGCAGCTTTTCTTGGTACTGCAGCAGAGCCTTGATATCTTGTGTTCTGAATGTGTAATCCAGAAGTTTGTATTGAAGAAGTAAGTACAGGTATGATTGCTGATTTTTGCTGCCACAGTTGTTTATAACGCTTTATGTTGCTTTTTTGTCCATTTCAGAAAAAGCTGGAAGCGGAGCTGCTTCAGATTGAAGAGCGTTTTGAGAACAAGAAGAAACGCTTTCTCGAGGACAGTGATAACTTCAACCACGAGCTGAAAAAGGTGGGCTGCTTTAAGACATACTTAGGCTAAAGAGAAGTCAATCAATTACACAAAGTCTAACTTTACAATTACATAAAATCTATGTTGAGTATACACTGTGTGGAGTAGTAAACTAAGTAGCTAAAAGTTCTTGAAGTCACTTTTTGTTTAACTGTCTTCAGCTTAAGACACCAGCTCCTAAAGTTGAGCTTTACTCCACACTAAGTTTTCTTGTCCTGTTCCTCCCCAGATCTGTGCCCAGAAGGTGGAGATTGACCATGACAAGATCATGCAGGACGTGAAAGACCAGATAGAGAAGCAGAAGATCTTGAAACAACAGCAACTGGAAGAACAGAAGAGAAAAGTAAGTCTGTCTCTACTGTATATCCCTGACTGCTCTAAGATGTACCCTATGAATTACTTTAAATGCATCCAAATTGATTGGTTTGATAATGTAAAAGTTTCCAATTTTTGTTGATTTCTAAAAGAAATTCATACCGTTTCCTGTGTCATTATACACTCATGTTAATACATGTCACAGTAACAATGGATATCATACCATTATAGCCAAAATATTGAAATGAACTTTCCTGTTACGGAAATGTTCTATGATTGTCTCATGAAAAGAACCGTAACGAGCTAGTCTATTTCTAGGAAGAAGAGAAGAAGATCGAAGAGGAGAAGAAAAAGGCCCAGGAGGCTGCTGAAGCAGAGAAGAAGGCGGAAGAAGCAGCAAAGGAAGGTGAGAAAACAGAAGAAAAAGAAAATGAAGGTCCAGAAACCGACCAATCACAAGACAGCAAGACAGCTGATGATACAGACAAGAAAGAAACTGACCAATCAGAGAAGCCAGTCAGCAGTGCTGAAGCAAAGGCAGCTGACCAATCAGGTGATAAAGGAACTGACCAATCAGAGGACAGTAATCTTTCGAATGACACAATGGTCAGTAAAAGCGACCAATCAGAGAGCGAGAAGGATGAAGGTGGTAAGTCTGACAAAGATGGTGCCAAATCTGACAAAACAGAGAAGATGGATGTTGACCAATCAGCAGAAAGCAAAGAGGAAAAGGACCAACCAGAAGCCAGCAAAAACGGAGAAGAAAAGGGAGAAGAGAAAGAGGCAGATGACACAGAAAGTCAGGATACAGTTCTAAGTCAGGATACAGAGAGCCAGGAAGAACCCATGGAAACATAAAACAAAACTACATGTTATTTTTTTACTTGTCAACAACATGTACTAGTAGTAGCTGGTGTGTATATTGTAATGAAATCTTCAGTCCTGAAAATGTGGTTTTGACAGATTATGTACATGTAAAAGTTGAGTTTGACATGTAGTCACTAACCAACATGATCATATTTAAACATAACTTCTCATTGCCATTATTCTCAAAACATCCTAGTAGACAAACATAAAGCTATGTTAAAAGCTACTTTTTTTTTAAGCATCTGGAACAAAGAATTTCTGAAGAAAAAGGATGGCATATTGCTGTAAATGTTGCCCTGTACCCAAAAGTGATAATGTTTTGTGTTAGTTTCATTGATAAGTTATATAAAAATTTAGATTTCTAGTGCCATATTATTACTGGTAATATTGTAAAACATAGTTGTAGATGTTTAGGTATTATGCTCACTGCTTGTATGGAAGTGTGAGAACAGCAATGCGATACCCTAGAACAGTAGTGTGATACCCTATATTGTCCATTCCTGTCCCCTTTTCACTGTGAACCATTTAGCTAAAACAGTGGAATAAAGACATGACAGTATCATCTCTATGTCTCATTTTTCTGAGGGGACAATTTAATACATGATCGACCCATTTTTCTGCACGGGCACTAAAAAAAGACACTTTCTTATCAATGAAGTTTGTTTGGACTTCTGAGATTTGTGGCCATTAAATAGTCGCTGAAAAACATTTATTACTTGACATGGCAGTAACACTAGTCTGTCCCAAACCCAATGAGCTGTTGGAAAAATAGTAGTTGATTCTTAGGCCTTGACTCAAAGTGCAATCAAGCCAATAATATGAAACACAGAAAGTTCGTGAGACTAACATCAAATTTATTGAAGTTTCTTCAACATGTCAGATGACATCCAAATCAATACAGAACTTACACAATGCCTTCATATACGAATATAATATCCAATAAATTAGGTGTGAAGTATTCTGCTTTTCTTGGGTTTATTCCTGAAATGGAGGATTACGTGTCTGTATGTTTATGGCTAATACATGCCTTGTTTCCAACCGATAATCAAACTCTCGAGCTACTTTTTGTACCCTTTTCTAGAAACCCCTTACCACATCTGGTCCTCTCATAACCCCTTTATGGCCCTCATATTTCATAGTTGACCTACATGTACACATAATCTATGTACAGAATATGTACATAAAATGGAAGAAATAAACATGGCTATTTGAACATACTATTTACATCTGTTTTAGTAACACTGGTTTCCATGTGCTTCACTATTGATTGCTACGTGATAACCAAAAACTACTGATTTTACCAGCCTTTTTAACAGGTTCTTCACAGCCTCTTTACTAAAAGAAAAACAGAATAAAACATACTCTAAAATTAAACAGTTGGTCAATTATTGATAATGGTAAACAAAACTAAATTCCACACATTTTTACAAAAAATTTCAATCATAAGTTTTCACTCAGTCACTTTTAAAACAACCTGAAATGATTTACAAGTAGATCCGAGTTTTCATAACCAAACTACAATGAGGTTTTATGAAAATTATTTTGCTCAATCCCAACTTTTTATGTAGCAAGCTGTGCAGTGTATAAAAAGTTAACACATTTTTATGCATGTATTGCTATTTAGCTCCCATATTCCATATTGAGTAGATTTTGTGGTACACATCACCACCCAGAAGTAAAGCTAGCACCTCATTCACACGACCAATGACCATGGCGTCATGGACTTTTGACAATCACTGGAAACATCTACAAAAGTAACTCTGGTCTAAATTAAATATATTCACTTCAAATCTCCATATTACCTGTCAAAATACATGTGGATTCACAAGGAAAATAAGTTTTACATACATGTACAAACATTTACACTTCTATACGCTTTTACAAACTGTCTTTTACGGCTTTCATTGCCATACCCGAACCTCTTACCCTTTCTGTCAACTCAATACCTTACCATCAGTCAATTTTGATTACAATCGTTACATTACATGTTCAAATCTTTTCATAGGTCCTTTCTCAATAGTCTCTACCAGACTCCTTTGCAGGCTGAATAAATAGTAGAAATCGGCAAAGGGGGAAATCATTGGCCAGAGGAGTTGGCCGGCCATAGAGGGTCCAGTTTTCCTGCACGTGCACTACCTCTGGCCAATGATTTCCCCCTTTGCCGATTTCTACTATTTATTCAGCCTGCAAAGGAGTCTGGTAGAGACTACTTTCTCATAAGCTTTCTTTGATGCTTGTAGTCACCACTCTCTGTAAACATTCAATAAACATCTACAACATCACAAATCCTACCACTTCTGCTAGCCAGAGAGTAGAATCTATTCAGCTGAAAAGGATGCACAACTACATGTGTAGATATCGACCAAGAATTGTGCAGAAAGGTTGTTATAATTGATGAGAAGTCTTTTTCATATCAATACTTTCTTCATCTTTTTTTTCTGTGGCTCCCAATTCTTTTTGAGTGCAAATTCTTTTGTCACTGGTGCCACAGTTTTTCAGGTGCACACACTTCTTGATGATTTGTCCTTTCTAACCACACACATCACACTGTAACCGGTAAGGGAGCTTGGACAGCTTGCACTTTCGCACAGACCATGAGGTCAGGTCCCAGACGCTGCTGCTCATATTCTGAAGGTGAGAAAGGTCCTGACGCTGTTCTGGGAGCCGCGTGGCGTGTACGGCGAGCTCCAGTCCGATGTCGGGATGTTCATGCCGTAGTGACGGGATGATGTCGTGTTGAACACAGGGAGGAGCTCGTTGGCTTCACTAGACAGCGCCTAAGAGGGCAAAAATAGGTGAAAAATTGGTCAAAACTAGGTAAAAATTGGTCAAAACTAGGTGAAAATTGGTCAAAACTAGGTATAAAATTGGTGTGTCCGGAGTGTATAGAAATCCATACATGCATGGTTTCTCACCTGATGAAAGCAGCAGATTGATTTAATTTTTACTTATTCATTTAGATATTCTAACAAAGAGTAAACAGTATGGTTGTTTGCTTCTGAATTGTTGGCACGAAAAAAATACCTTGCTTGATTCGATTCTCCTAGATTTAGGAAAAATGTAGCAACTAATCAGAGGGAAGTCTTCAAGATATGGCCCAACCAGACTGCAGTACCTACCTTCAGCCAGATGAGGGCGTCGGTGCCATAGCCCTCTTGTGACACCAGCTGCAGGTCCCCCTGGAAGTACTTGGCATACAGACGTGACAGCGGCAGTCCGTAGCCATAACCAGCCTGGGAACAGGAGGAAATATCCGTTAGTAATCATGTACAGTACAAACTGACCAAGAAGAGCATTCAGGGGATCGATAAAACCTGGTCTATGTTTACAGGTGATCACTATACGAGCGATTGCTGTTTTTGTTTACATCATAGTATCATACAACAGCAAATTATTGTTTGGCAAATCATTCAATTGTCTAGCCTAGAAAACTGAAAGCAGTAAATGAACCTTCGTTCTTCCAATTTCATATCTATTAGCCCAGCCACTCAGCTATTTGAAGGCACTATTGAAGCATAACCTATAACAAAAAACTACAGTGAATATCCCACATGAATGTACCCACCAGAGGTGCAGTTGTAGACCCAGACTTGGGAGGCTGTGGTGCTGTGGAGTACATGTAGTTAAACAGGACATCCATGGCTGACTTGGGGATGCCGCCACCCTGGTCAGAAATCTGCACGGAAAGAATCAGAAAACATTCTCATTTTACCAATAAAAACTAGTTTGATTCAAATATCATGGTAGGATTCTTGCAATATTGGTATAAAAAAGCTGAATTGTGTAATATTAGCAATGAAAAAAAGAACAGCAACACCAATAATTATAGCATATTTATTTCAAGGAAACCAAACTTTTTAGCATGAAAATATTATCTGTATATACACATTTTACAAAATTCTTGTTAATATATATAATCTAGCCATTACATATAATGCCCAAAGATCTCCCTCCTACCTTAATGGTGAGATCCTCCTTTCCCAAAGACACCTGGCATTTGACCTTAGGGTAGTCTAGAGCTGCAGTACCGTGGTACTCCACTATGGCCCGCATGGCGTTCTTAAACAGCTCAAACAGCATGTGGTACAGGTGGGACGGCACATACACAACTGTGATGGGCGACGACTTCTTCATACCTGTGGGGAAAATAACAACACAAAATATTCACTCACTCAGTTGCCCCACAGAGTAATTGTTGACTGCCTTGCCTGTTATATTATTCAGCTTTTATAAATTCCTTTATGGTCCCAAATTCTATTTAAAAAATGGCAACAGCATAGCCCAAAACACACTATATAATTTTACCTATGAAACATTTTATAAGGCATAAAAATGTTGTAGCTCAAGCAATCTCTTAGTGTCATTTACTAGACACTTTGAGAGTAGGGTATAAGCCAGTGCAGGTATGCAGGAAAAGTGTTTTGAGCCCTGCATGGCCTTGAAACACTACTGTATAGTACATAATAGGACGAAGTCTATCCACATAATGCCATCGGTATATCACGCCAACGCCTGTTGCTAATCATTACGTCAGCTCAGTGAGAGGGATTCTCTTCAAATTAGGGCCTACGTGCACAGGCGAGGGTAAGGATAGTCCTGAGGGACTGCTACTCAACGCTAATAGAAAGACTATCATACTGGTAAATTGAATAGGGATTTGACCCAAGAGAGGTCATTTCTAAAGGACATATGTGCACACAATAGGGCAGAGACAGGAGCTGTATTTCGTGCAGATTCCATACTATTATTACTAGGACCTTGAAGTGTCACTTGTCATTGTGAGCTCTCCTAATAAATTAGTAGTTGCCATAAACAATAATCAACAGCTACAGTTAACAAATTGTACTCCAATGACTATCTCGCTTCTGGATCATAATGAACATGAAACTGTATGATAAACTGGATGGATTGGCTTCAGCATTAAAAACATATTATACAGTATAGATGACAACAGCTATGAATTTAGTGAGCTACACTTCTTACAAAGTCGCTGAGGGAAAATCTAAAAGGGGTCAGCAAGTCTTGTCACATCTTAATGCATCAAGCTGAAAGCCTTTTAAGGAAATGAACCGGTGTATGTCTCTCTAAGATGAGCTGTTCCAAGGTCTAGAAGGCACCTTGGAGAGTAGAGATCACTGGCAGACAGTATTTAGGCAGTGGAAAATTCCATCTGTAAGGCAGTCTGAATGAAGTTTGTTGGATGGTATCTACCAGTGCTTTTTCCAGAAATATACTGTAATTCCTGATTATGTCACTGTACTTTTATGTTCGTTTTTTTTGTGGTCACTTCTGTGTGGCAAACTTATCATTAAGGTTAACAAATAATTCGCCTGAATTAATTCGGCTACAAGGGAGCGTAGACGAGATCTTTTACTGCATGAAAAACTCACCGTTATGAGAGACCAAGTCCAGTTCTGGAGAGGCCAGGTAGTACTGATCACAGAGAAACTTGGCATTCTCATAGGCATCTGTGGAAGGAAGTGGAATTAGAAACAGTTAAATCTTCTTCTTCTTATCCGAGTTTTACGTCTATTGATTCCCTGAATCGGGGGTATAGACGTGCTTGCACAGGTGCATGTTTGGGCTTGTCATTTTGCCCCTCAGCATGCTGAGGAGCACAACAGCAAGCCTGTGCAAGACTTTTTTTGAAGCAAGGTTTTTACTGACTGGATGCTCTTCCTAACGTCAAACGTCAGTTTTTGACAGCCTTCAGAGACTGGCTGTATGAGGAAATGTGTGTTAAGTGCCTTTCCCAAGGGCACAACATCGGGGTATGTAGTAGGTGGATTTGAACCCAGGGCCCCTGGGTCCCGGGCCGAAAGCCCTACCACTATACCACACAACGCCACCAATCATGAGTCAAAAATGTTCAAATTCAAATTCAGCATCCTATCCTATCCTCTGGCCTTTTGTAATACCCACTGGATAGTTTGAAAACTTGGCAAACTAACACTGTAATAGTTTGAAAATGTTATAGCCTCCCACGAGATTAGTGGCATGACTACTTACCGAGAACAACAGCCTCCACATCACAGTTGGGGTCTATACTGCCCACATGGCGAGGGTGTGTCTCTTGTGTAGGGGAGAAGAGAAGAACTGGAGAAACACAAGGAAACATACTGGCCTGTTAGTAGACAACAAACAACTCGATTCCTTGCCTGACAAAATTTCACAATTACCATTTGATTATTGACTAAAAAAAAATTTAAAAAACAACTTTTATATGGCTGCCATCGAAGGATGCTGTTGAGTATGACAATGTTTCTGTTATTTCATTGAGGTGTGTGTGTTTTGAACAGGACTGTAAACACAATTTGCCAAAATTCTTCCCTACAATTTGGGAAAACATTCTAGAAATACTGAAGCCATTGTTTCTGCCCTACTGCTACAACATGAGCTTTAAAATTTCACGTAATTTGGGTTCTTGCTCGAAATAACAAGCCTCCATTTCAGCAAACTGTCATTTTCAGCAAATTGTAGGTTAGTACTGCGCCTCACTGAAGCACCCAATCTCTTTCAGTGTCAAGGCCACAAAATTTATATAACATCTGTCAGCGACCTGTATCGTATTTTAAACTACCCTGAGCACTTGCCAAGAACAATTATTCCTGGCCTTTACAACATAATACATCCCTCCTATTGCCAGCCCGAAGACGAATGCAAACATTTTGTGACGACATTCACACACGCCAGACCTTTAACCACTTCCTATAAGGCTCCAGGATGCATTCCTGTAGTTCTATTTTAAGTGCTTGACCTTTACTTATATGTTTGTGCGGAAAAAGGTAAAAGTCACTGCATACAAATGGTAAATCTGTCTGGGTACTGGGGTGCCGCTAGCAACACTTATAATCTAGACGAATCTAATGAATCAGCAAATGTCAGTTTTTCTGGAATTTTTCTCAAAACATGATACGGCCACACCAGTTTTATTCTTTGTTTTCTGGATTTAAAAATGAAAAACCTGATGAAAATAAAGCCTATGGACTAGGTTGATGCCCTGGTACCCTCACATTCAAGTTTTCTACCTAGCCCTATGATTTTAATGAAGCATTTTGTTAACTTATGGTGTAAACTTAAAATGTCCAAGAACAATTAGGAAATAAATTTGTCTGGCCTTTATATTAGCCACCTACAGTACCTTCACAAGCCATCACAAACTTATAAACATGAAACCATGTTTGAAGTTAATCTGGCCAATCTGCCTTCAACTCCACTCTGTAAGTCCTGGGTAATCCCCTGGTAATACGATACATTAACCTTCGTCTGATCATTTTCCATCACGTCACGCCCTTCTGACCAGCGCATGCCTGTCACGTAGATACGCCTGCCGTACTCTCTTATCACATGCCCAAATGTCACCCACTTCAAATTGCGATGACGGTGTTCTTCTAATGACACCGACATATTTCATACTTGTGGGACCGTTGATGCCAATAATAAATGCTTTGAATATCACATGTCAGGTGAAGATTTAAACCCTTCAACTTTCAGGCCATAAATTTCAAGTAAATTTGTTGGGACAGATACCGTGTATACTTAAATTAAAGCAGTTTACAAATACATAGTGATCCCATGTTTGGAAAACATACTTGCACATATTCTAATCATACCGAAAGATAATCCTGGGGGACCAATAAATGTACGATCATTTAAAAGGGAAAGAAATAAACTTTCCAATGACAGAATATACAATGCAATAGATCAACAGTCATTGAGGATATATTCAGTATGATCGACCAAGAACAAGTTTCCCAACTTTGTACTGACCATGTTGGTGTATAAGCATTCGGATGCTTATTCTGCTCATGTAGAAGCGGTCTAGAAAGTACTGTATGTTGGAGTCTGTCTGATGATCGATGCCGTGTGTGTCCCTGAGTTCGATCACTCCCTGAGCCATCGTCTCTACAACATTGCTGTGTCGTTTTCTGATGTTGTACAGCGTCTCTGTAAAACTGGAGGAAGCACAGGTATAGTTATGCCATAGTTATAGGTACAGTATGCCACAATTTCTTACAACTCCCAATGTCGCAACAGAAAGAAACCTATTTCGTGCCCTGAGTAGACATTTTACTATAATGGTACCGCTATGGAAGAATATCTTTCCTCGGAAAGCAAAACACTTCATCATTCATGTTCATACTTTCAACAAAGGCAAACATATTGTATAACCTTTGGTCCATAGAAAAGCCCATACTCATTTGGTCAATGACAGTCAAAATACTTGTTTTGCAAACAGCTATAGGGACATGTTTCAGTAATCAGTACAGTGCGGTGCTCTTATTTTCAGCACTTCCCTCATGATCAGATTTCAGAACACTTCCTGCAGTATTCCCATAAAACACCTGCTGACTTGAATGAATTTTATTTCCTCCTAAGTGCCGATGTCACCATGACTACCTCTAAAGAGGCCACTCATCCTCTTCTTGTAAAAATTGTAGTAGATCATCTCACAACATATCCATATATGGTACTAGTATTAGCCCATTCCAATCTGAAAGACCCTTGTTGCTAAGGACACCCTAATTTTATATCCTTCAACACCGCAATTATAACAGATGAAAATTCAGTTCAATGGATACCCTATGATTTTAATCCTATAATACTTACTTTTCTATAACTGCAGAATTATCTGGGCTCTTATTCTCAAAGCCTAGAATCTCTGTCAGACTCTGAATGTACCTGTACAACACAAAGATGAAATGTTAGTGTTTCAAGAAAATAACAAATCTATTATCAATCATCTTGGTCATTTCGTTCCTTTCCTTCTTCTCAACTCCTTGAGCTAAGGATGCCACAATAGGTAAGATACAATGGACTTTTAAGAACTGATTGCAGTTGTAGGATTTATTTTGTTATACATGTGTAATCTCTGACTTTCAGTACAGTAAATGCATTTAATTTCATTTGAAACACTTCTGTAGTACAGTAGTATATAACAGTAATATACAACTCCCGATGTCATGAATTCACAGTGGAAAGGTCAGGAAAACAAATCTATCGCAAAACTTTATGCATTTACAGTATCCATGAGAAAAACATGTAGACTAGAAGAAATGTCTGACCAGCTTTGGACCAGCTCGACAGACGGCATCTTGAGCAGCGTGTCCGGCAGGAGGTTGATCTCCTTCATGATGTTGGCCAGACGGACGGGCAGCTCCTGCCGCAGGAACGTGAACGACTTCTTCTCACACGCATTCTTGGACCCTGGAGAAACATAGCCAACAAACAATACATTACAGCATGGGAATCAGAGATACTGCAATACACAGAACCCCTAAAGGCCGTAAAGGGCCTCAATTTTGTAAGATTTTGCACTCAAAATTAAAGAAAAAACAATTGAGAACAAATTCTTCCTGTGATTGACATGTACAGTCTCTTTTGAGCATATCTGCAGCATTCTTGTTTTCATATTTCTGGTCAAATTTGTTTTTGTGACCTGTGCAAAAACAAGCTGCAAAAGTGCCACCGACTTAACCACCTTTGCTCTTCCAAGTGTAAACAACAACATCCTGTCCACTGGTAGCAACAGCAACTTTTGCTGTGACTTCTATTTGATTTGTTAGCACTTTTTATTTTGACATAAATCTGAACATTTGGCTGGGTAGAATGAAAATTGAGGGGGGATACAAGTACTGTGAAGTAGGTATTTTTTGACCAGCCATTTTGCCATCCTTTCTTTACCTTTCATCGAGACACCCTGTCCTTGAGGGCGCCCTTCGAACAATTACCACAGGACCATGAAAGGGTCAAAAAGGACAAAATCAATTCAGTGCCTGGCCCTTCAACCAAATTGACTACAGTACACAAACTAAAAATACACACTCTACTGATGAGTGAGTTTGGACTGCTATCCTCTAATTTTCTCTCATTGATTTGGTAGTGCAGACAAGGTGTTTTATACATACAAATGTTATTACTTGTTAGGCCACACCAATTTAATTTGTTGGTTCTCGGATTCGCCTCTTCGTTTTTTTCTGATTTGCAAAAAAAAAATGATTCTGGTTCTGAATCAACTCAAAAATGCTCATTTTGCCCCAAACAGTTGAGGAAATTCTTTTTCTTCCTAGTTGTTACAGTTTTCCCATCTATCATTGCAGTGGTTTGATTAAAAGTTCAAAATTCAATGTTTAAATTTTAACCCAGCCTTTTGTGTTGACTTCATGGCTCATTCCGTAGCATTTAAGCCTTTAATGGGATGCCTAGACCAATTTTTATTTCTATTTTTTTTCGCCCTGTCGCTTCATATTTTTTCTGAAAAAATCCGAGAACCAACAAATTAAATTGGTGTGGCCTTACGCAAAACATTTTCATTCCATGTTATCTCGATACTCCATGTGTTCAAACAAACAGTTTGAACTAACATTGACGAGCTGTAAACATTGACTGGAAAATCCATGAGTCGCATGACTCGGTAAAATATGGTAGACTTTACCCCTGTATACATCTTACTTAGTATACACTTACTAACTTAGTACTGGAACAAAATACTGTATATTTTCCATACAGCACATTTTTATCATTAAGAGTTTTTGTATACAAATTTGTTGTTGAGTAATGGAGTCGTTCCAATAAGTGAACAACCATAGACTATACAATTTTGATGAATTTGATCTTATTTGAAAATTGCATTGAAGGACTTATTTTCATTAAGTTGAGTAAATAACTGCAGAGGTGTGTCAGGGGTGTGTCCCATTTCCTAGGATCTGATTGGCTGATTTGGGGTCGTGCCCGGTTGAAGACATTTCACAACATCACCCTTTGAAAACCTGGCCCCACTGTTGTTTTTTTAATCGATAAGACACACGAATATGATCTTGGACAATCTGCAGGGCCATATTTGATTATGGAACATGACATAGTCATTAGTATGTCAGTTTGGATCTATCTTATTGTTTTGACAAAATCTACCCTAAAATATTCATAGAACTACATGTATAAATTGGGCTATCACTGTATCAGGTAGCTCAACAGCTGTTGCTACATACAAAAATGATATGACTGCGTGCTATGATTTACATGAACTTGGTTGCTTATTATCCACTAACAACCCATACCAAAAGAAAAAGATGACAGCAAAAATTCTGTAGTGCAAAACATAAACTACTTATTGGGGCCCCAAAGCAAGGTTCCTAGTCAGAGTCTTGTGACCAGGCCAACAATGTTTACATACCTGAGGGTGTGTTGGGGGTGTGTGCCCTTTCTAAGACTCCTATTGGCTGTTAAAAATATTGATGTCATCATATACATCAGCAGGAAATGAACCTTTGACACCAATCAACCAAAGTGTTGGACAGAGGCCAGAAAAAAACAAAACGTAGCAACTGATTATTCAGAGCTGACCAGGTGTACGTTTCTGTAAATTACAACAATTTTGTAAATACAAGTTTCCGAGTTCCTTATTTCTACTACCACCCCATATATTTACGTATCTACATGTAAAATACCCTTTCCCACCACTTGGCACCACATAACAACAACATCTGGCCCCAGTGTTATCAATGACGCAACTGCCTGTGGGTGTGTCTCAATCTAAGACCAGCCATTGGCAGTTTGAACCAGTTCAATCGGGTTCATGTAATTTGTTGTTGTCTATCAACTCTCAGATGTCAAGCAAACTCTAGATGATTCTTCAGATTGTTCTTAACTTGGAATTAAAGAATGGATTTACCTACGTATTCCATACGTGTTATTAGCACAAATTTCTAAGCCATATATTGAGTTATACAGTTGAGTTGGTGTTTCATGTTAATATATGGACTTTGCTCCCATAGACTCCCAGAGAACAATGTACACATAGGTGAGTTATTTGGGTCATGAGGCCACCCAAACTACAAAACACTCAAGAAGTATACTCGGCAAAACCTTATAATTCTGCCCTAATCATACATTATAATACCGCTTGCTCCATTAGAAATGAAACACATTGAGCATGAATTAGACTTTTAAAATTTTTATTGAGGGTTTATTACCAAGTGTTTGGTAAAAATTAGATGCCAAGAAGTTTATCTGCACTTTCTATGTCATGTTTGCCTGTATCGACCGCAAATATGTACTCTGTTCCAAGGCTAACTGTTGTGGTACAGATACTGGATCTGTGTGCATCTTTTTTACTCGAGTCACCTGTATTCGCCTGTATATCTTGATTGAAATGACTAACTTTAGTGGGGAGAAAAATTCCAATAAGGCAAAAAAACTGTACAAATGGTAGCCTGGTCACCAAACCTATTTTAGCTCCAGAGTCCTACCGGTATATCCTCTCTGGATCAGGAACTAAAATAGGTTTGGTAAAAATGGCTGAGGAAGAGATGTGAGCTGAAAACTAGGGCATGAAGAATTAAGATCATTATAATTTACAGCAAATGGTGCAGAGTTGTTCTTCTGGTTCCATTTACCTGGCAGGTCTGGTCTGGATTACCTTCATTCCAGACATGTGGCCACAGGTCAGTAAACAGACCAAGGAGGTTAGATACAAATCTTCTTGGTCAGACCCAGGGTCTGAAACCACATGTGGTTCAAAAACCAATTTGCAAATCACACTGGTATTTTTTATATTAACAAGACTGATAGTTTTGAGTCACTAGTCTCTCGGCAAAATGCTATCTGCGGTGAAAACAAAAGCTGTATACAATGCACTACATACATACAAGTGTATTTATTGGGAAACTTTCTCATTCTGAACTTCTGTCTAACAGGTATATTTGCACCCTGATAATGATACAGTAACTGATGAGCAAAACATTTGTTTGTAGACTGAATTCTGGCACACAATGATCAAAAGACTTTAGTACCTGTCACAAATACTAGTACATGTAGTTCTATATTTAGGCCTGTGCCACTCCCCCTTTTCCAGAGGTCACCTTGACCACTTGCATGACACGCACCCCGACTAGAATTTCAAAAGAACAACATCCAAATGAAAAAAAAAACAACACTAACATTGATTCACTATATGGCCAAGATCATGCTTTACACAGTTTTCAGGGATGCTTTTCCAAACAATACTTTAATGGTGGAAACTTTCTGATGGGTATTCATTCTATCAAGGACACTTTACACCTTGTAAAATGTCCTTGATTCTAGGTAACCTAGCTAAAGAACAAAAAGAAAGGATTAAGTTCTTCCTGCAGTATCAAGTGACTATTATCAACTATATGTGGCCTGACAGCCGACACGTAGTCACTGCTTGTAACTCACTTACCAGCCGGCAACGCACGACCAAACATGCATGTTAACTTTTCTTTCCACGTCAGCCGCTACTGGACATGCATACAAACATTTCACTTGCTCTGGCACCAAGAAAATTGGTCTGACTTGAGAACTGAATATTCAAATTCTCCTGAGTCAGACATCTCGAAAACAAGACTTCAAAACTTGCAATTTGCAAATTATATATTCTTGAGTCTTTTGAGACTTGCCAAAACCAACTAGTAAAGCAAAAGGACCTGTACTATAAAACACTTGGTCATGTGGATAATTACATTATGATTTCCAAAAGCTAATAGAGTAGACAACTAACTTTCCTTGACCTTGGTGTTAATCACAGTGACACCAATTCACTTTGAAGAATATTTGAAAAATAAAGTTACATCTGTACTTGAAGAAGTTACGTACTGGAATGGATTAAGGCATACAATATAGATTTCATTTGTCTACACAGACACACCCACTTTTCTGGTGAATGTTTAACCACTCCTTCAAAGAAACCAGGAAACCATACAAATTACAATGTAAGGAAGGCTGGACAGGATTTTGGGCCAACGGAAGGTTTTTGATAAGTTTGGATGCTACAAGCTAAACTAAGTTAAGTTGGGAAGTATTTGGGTTTGTCAACAAAAGACTTCCAGACCAACCTTGTGCAAAATGCTGGTCATGAATAATTTACAGTCATACCAACGGTTCCCACAATATTCAATTGAATATTGCAAGGCCACAATCTGTGACGTATATTCAAAACAAAGACCAGCTTGTTGTTGGATAAGCTGCTTGACTGTTTAGAGCAACAGTACAGAGAACTGTGTGTTGTGACGCAGAGACAACGTCCGGCTTCCCAAAGCATACTGTATCTGCAGCAGATGCCAATAGAATATCCAACTAGACTGACACAAGCAACATTTCATCAAAACATAACAAGACACCAGTGTGGTTTGAAGAGGAAACACAATGCAGACTTACGGCCAAAGTCCAACAGTTTCTTCAGAGACAATGGAGAGGGGTGGAAATTTCCGTAGTGGCTCAAGGCCTGGTTCAACTTCTGCATCATCTTGCGGGTGCCCATGGCGAGAGTCGTCCAGCAACTGACTGGCTGAAATCTATCGTTCTCTCCTCTGTTCCTCGGCTATATATCACAATACCGGCTGGCGTATACCAATTGTACGTGTGCTATTGAATCCCAATGGCGTCAATACGACCCTTTTGAGGGTTGTGACATCAGCAAACCGTTCAAGAACAGCAAACAGTTCAAGAGCTTTCATGTACGTCATTCAAGACCATAACAAGACAGCCTGATGACAACATGACATGTCTGCCCTTGGTTGGTTTTCTGTCCATCACAACCAGACCAACCAGTCATGGATTGGGCAATATGCAAATTAGCTAACAATGAAAACAAAGGTCACTGCTCTAAAAAGTAGACAAACTCAAACTGACCAACAACAGAAGCCAACATCTAGTTACTTTAATTAATTAATCAGTTGTCTTAATACTAGTTGTGTCTGTTTTTGATGACATTCACGTTTGTTTTTATTTTTTATTTGCCCAGGGGGTCCGTACGTGTGGATGCGGTCAACCAGGGCATCCCTTGTTGGGCCGCGCCAAAAATAAACATTTGGCGGGATCAAGTGGAAATTTACAACTAAGTAACGGTGCCTACAGAGTGAAGCCCTACAACATAGAATCCCTATTTTCTCCCATATTGTAGTAGATAGATCTCGATCACATTTATCTTCAGATTAAGTAAATAGATATAAGTTAGGGACATCTTTTGCATCATAGCAACTATGACTAATCCGACATATACACACCATGGAAAAACACGTAGGCTCATTTACTACTTCCCTCAAAGCCTTTCACGGATAATTGTAAGCCTTTAACCACTTGGTACACAAAATAACCGAAGGCTTTGCCAGCTGGGATATGAAATTGGCCTGGGAAAGGAAGTTCCAGTTCACACCGGTTTTCCCAGGCCTGGTTTTTCCGTTGAATGAGAAATGTAAACATATGCAACTGCTTTCCATGCGAGTCATGGAAAAACCCACGATCGGACTAACGGTACAGTATAACGTTATAAACGGTGAATTCATATAATTTGTTCATTTCAGACAACCGTTCCGTTAACAAAAAGATAACTTGTAAATGAACCAGATGACGCTTAAATGGAATAAGTTTCCCCACTTACTCTAAGACTGGTTACCTGAGTATTTTTGCCAAATATTTTTATGCATTTTTGCGGAGCGGAAAAAGGAAGCTGGCTTACCGAAATCGAGGAACTGTTGCATAGACAACGGCGACGGTGAGAAGCGAGAATAGTGGTCCACTAGAGCCGGGAGACTCTTCAGAATTCTCGGAGAAAGCTTCATCATGCCTGATCCTTCTGTTATAAATAAATAATTGACTCGATCAACTGTACCCTGCCGCCGGCCGGTAAAATCGAAGACAACCTGGCCATCGTGGAGGCCGGTATATATACCAAGGCTGACGTCATGGAAAATAAGAGATACTCGTTTCTTATTGGTCAATTTGGAGGAGTGTCTAATTCCGCTCATATGATTGGATGTTGAGGTGGTTAATTAAAATAAATACGTGACTAAGATCACGCCTAACAAGTTATCGCGAGATCAGGTGACGTATTTCCGGTTCCTGCCGGCTCCCGCTGGCTCCAGGCAATATCGCGAGAAACATCGAGAAATCTCGAGAACAGTGACTTGCACATGCGCTACAGCTGGGCTCCGGCATGCGAAGGGTCGTGCAGAGAGAACTGTACAAAAATCTTACAATATTTCCACAAGTTTCTCCCATTTCCCCGCATTCAAGGACCTGATCACAATGGAAGAAGGTAAAGAAGACGTTGCCTCAGCGGTAGAAGGAGGGACAGAAGAAGGGGGTTCGGAAGAAAGGAAGGTGAACCCAGCAGAAGATGCCAAAAGTTTGGATGATTTTTTCGCCAAAAAAGACAAATCAAAAGGGAAGAAGAAGAAAGGGAAAATCAGCACAGACGTTCTGGCAAAGGAGCTAGAGGGCCCTGGCAAGAAAAAGGCAACAAAGAAGAAGAAAGAAAAGGGCGAGAAAGTGGACAAGGGGCCCAGTAAGGAAGGATCGCCGGTGGAAGAGGTAACGTGATGTATTGTGAAGTGTGGGAGGGGGGCTGACAGTGTAGTATGTGCGTTATGATTTGTGACGTGTACTAAGATGTGATGTTTGGCAAACTACATCATTCAGACACTGAGAGAAAGAAGCAATAAACAAGGAAGCCAGCTTTCCAAGAAAGCTAATAAGATTGCATGAGAAAGAACAAAGGACAGGATTTTACTGAAGTGAAATCATTGGCAAAGTATTTTATGATATTTGTGAATAAAGGGTTAATGCACTGCCCCGAGTTGTATATGGTGTCATAACTGCATGAGCAGCTGCCATAACCACCGAATAAACCACCGTGTGAGCGAAGCGAACGAGGTGGTTTATGAGGTGGTTATGGCAGCTGCCCATGCAGTTATGACACCATATACAACGAGGAAAAGGCAGTGCATTAAAATTATTATCATATAGCCTATCCAAACTGTCAATCAACACAATTCCTGTTTGAAATACAACAGCTTTAATATATATACATACATAAAAATACATTCGAATATATTATACGCTTTAAAACAAATATGGATAATTTCATTTAATGCAAATTGTAGTTTAAATGAAGCTAAACAAAAAGTTTATTGGACAGAAAAATGCTACAAAGGTTTACAGAAAGAGTCGCATGCCCCTATACCCTATAACATAATGGTATCAGCCATAACACGACATGTGCTGTTATTCCGCCATAACACCACATGTGCTGTTATCGGGAAATAACAGCACGGGTATCCGGGCCTCTGATTGGTCCACGCCGTCCGGCTATATGATAATTTATAATATTTCATATTACATAACAGTGTATCAAAACACTGGTGTTGGTATCATATTGTACCCTTTCTATGCTGTCATTTTGAACTGCTGTAAATGAACTGGTTCAAAATAAGGTAAGGTATAATAATGTAATTCATTAATTCATTAAAAAATTTATCCATATGGCACAAAGCGTCATCAAAGTCAGTCCACCACAGATGTTAAAGGTACTTGGTATCAGCGGCTGCTAAGTGCACTTAAAGTTAAAGGCAAATTGTCTATTGATTGATTGATTGATTGATTGAAATCTTATTTTTTTCAGGATGCTGACTGGATACAAATAGAAGAGCCTGGTGAGAAAGACTACAGTGGACTAAGGATAGCATCCCTCAACATTAGGTAGTTGAGAATCTTCTTAGTCTCTACTCTCATGCTATTGAAAATGGTTGGACTAGTTTGTGTGTATGTTTTTCAGGACAGAGTAGTTTGACAGCACACGGGTAGGGGTGAAGGTTGACAGTAGCTAGAATCAGTGGTCAAAAGGTCAGACAGAGGAGATGGGGTGAACATGGAAATCCCAGAATCTGACCCATATCTACATGTACCTACCAGTACCCCAGGTACTAGTACATGTGTATTAAAGATTGTATTTGTTTATTTCGTAGTGAACAGAGGCAGGAAGAACAAGAGCCGTCTCCAGAGGAAGAGCAGGAATACGACGAGGCCGGAGAGCCGCTGCCGCCGCGAGAATCTGCACAGCAAGGACCCTGGAAAATGCTCTCAGGAGGGGAGCAACCAAGCGCAGTAGCAGGTAAGGATCATCCTGACCCTCCGGCACAGTGGTATCTTGTCAGTGCCAGGAACCTTATACATATAGATTTACAGTCAAGCCTCTACAAGTGACCACCTCTACATAAGGACCAACTGTCCACATAGACCAAGTCAATCTGTCCTTGGGCAGATTTTACAGTGCTTTATTATATTTGTTTGACCACATTTTTTCAGTCCCCTAAATTGTTTTCTTGGGCAGTTTTTACATCACTTTATTTGTTTGTCTGTATAGAAGCGCCGCCACCAGAGCCCAGCCCTGCCCCCGCCCCTGCTGCCGCGGGCGCTGCTCCCAGCAAGTACATCCCGCCCAGCCTGCGTGCCGCCATGGCCGCGCAGGAGTCCCGGGCCACGCCGAGCTGGTCGGGCAGGCAGCGAGGGTCCCGCGCCCCGCCCGAGATCACCAGCGAACAACACTTCCCCTCCCTGGCCGCATCTCTGCAGGACAAGCCTCCAGGCATGGGGTGGGTAGACCATATCTGTGGTACCTCAAATGCAAGCAGTTTTGTAAAAAAAATAAGAAGAGGTAGAGCTATGTACAAATTTTACATACAGCTACAGACTCTACCTAAACAAGTTTGACCTATCGTCTGTCTCATTAAGTGGTACATGTAGATTGTTCTTTGAATGAGGGTTTATGTATTTCAATCTAAAACAAGAATTTTTGCATTTTAATTTTACCACTTTAGTATATACATTTTGTAGTATACACTTTTTTGCTTAGACTGTCATGTAATGTATCAATACTACAGAATAATCACACTTTTTTCTTCATTTTTTCACCAGATTTTTAGATCACAATAATGTCTCCACAGTGGAATTCTCTTGGTTTATTTCTTGTGTCTTTCACCACAGCAGTTTGTCTAAACCTGCTTCAGATAGTATGAATGTTGTGACACTTTTCTTTTTTCACTGTTATTTCTTGCCACCTCTGCGTAGAAATTTTTGGTGAGTATAGATGACTTGTGGTAGCATGGCTTTGGTGGATTTGCAGGAGCAAGTCAACCACTGGAACATTCCTTTTTTTCAACAGTTAGTACAAAAAAAATGTCATGACTTCTAATGATGTCTTTGAATTAGTTTCCTTTTCTTTCCCTTCCAGAAATTGTTGGATGGAACAGCATTTTTCTACACATTCAGTGCAATTATACTTGCTGTCTATACAGTTCTATAATTCTATTTCTACCTTGATCTTCTACATTTTTGTTGGTAGGCGTATGAAAACTACTGCCTATCACTCGATAAATGGGATGGGACTGTCTTATGACATGAAAGTGGATGATTGAATGTCCAAACATGTGTGCATGAGGAATTTTTCAATGTAATTTGTAACAGGTACATAAGAATCATGCATGCTCTTTCAATGTTTTACAGACAGAGGAGAGCAGCAGAAGAAAACCGACAGTTCTCTACGGTGACACGAGGAGCGCGGGGCGTGGGCGGCCCGGAGAAGAACGCGCCCCTAGAGACACAGAACCCGTACGCCGCCCTCAGTAGACGATAATAAAACAGCAATAAATTTAGTTAGTCCGTAGGGCTCGAAACTAACCATGCTCCGGTGGGGAAACTACAACAACTGGCATTCTACTGGTCTGTCCTCGTAGTTTGGTCACTATGTGGCTGCTGTTATATGGCTCCGGTCCTGAGGTGGTGCCAAAAACTGAGGGACCCTGCCAGTTGACCAGGTTTTGCTCTCCTGAAACTCTGAAGTTTACCTGTTCTCACGAGCATGACTAGAGCCTAGTCTCAACATGGCCCTTCTGCAGGCTGAAGAATTGGCGTAGTTTGGTCAAATACCCGGGTAGGGACAATATTTTGCCAGATAAAGAAAATTAAACTTCTATAGTTGTGGCAAACTCCAGTAGCAAAATATTCTCCCTGTTTGGCCAATTTCAACACTCTTTAAGCTTGCAGAAGGGCCTGGAGGTGACTAAACAGAGCCCACTTTTCAGTATTTCCCCTAGATCAAGCAGATTGCCTGTAACTTCTGGATAAACTGATAATACTCACAGGAACATATGGATTGCTACTTCAAATTTTCACGAAATTTGCTACTTTAGAAGCTGGCAAAATGCTTGATGTATACGTTAATAGGCCATTTAATGGAAAGCGTTGCCTTGAATACAATTCCGATAACAGGGACTGCCAAATACCTGGGGAAACTCTGGGATGTACACAAGCTTTGATCAGAAATGTTTAAATAAACCAAATATTTGTCATAACTTCAGCCGTATGCTGGGTAGTTTTTGTCACTGTTCTTGATTTTCTGGAAATTAAACCCTACGTATACAGCCCACCTTATTTGATCTTGTCATACTTCTAGAGGAATAAGGCATTGGTAAATACAAGTGAAAGAATTTGAACTGAAATACTCAAATACTACAAGTACATATATTATGATATGATGAGGCCTAGGTACCTGACAAAGTCAGTCAGAACGTTACTTTATTTTCAGTCTCTTTTTTTTATATGATAATTGTACTGGTATGTTATCTTACACAAAATATGACAAGAATACACACACACATGTATTGACAGTAACTCAAATTTTCCAGTTGTATTCAAATAACACAAAAATCAATGGTCACTCAGTGATTCTACATGTATATGGCTGTTTCTTAAACATACAATGAAAAATTTTCACCATGGTTATGTGCAATCATCTTTTCTTTGAACATATTTGTTACAAAATATGCCACTAATATGACTCAGTGTTATGGGCAAATATATCACCTTTTTTTACAAAGGCAACAAAATTGTACAGCATTCAGTGGATAAGGCCACACCGACTTAATTTTATGGATGACATCCGCGCGCGCATTGATTTTCACCTGTCGCCCTCAAAAAAAAAAAAGATCACCTCCATCGAGGCTCTGGCCTGGCTCTAAGCCTGGGTAGTCCATGCTAGTCAGCAACAAAACGGAGCCGAGCACCCAAGCTATCGAATTCGAAGCTCCACGACTAAAGAACTCAGTACATAAGTATAGTACCGATTCATAAATGCCACAAAAAGCCAGCATGTGCTGGCTTGTCGTATACGTCACTATGTACTGTCGGGAATTCACAATACCAGCTTTGTATTCCTGTGGTTCAGTAGCATTTTTATTTTTGGCCGGAATTTTTTATTACTCGCCCGCGCGCACTAGTTTGGGGGTCTTCAGAGGATGTCATCCATAAAATTAAATCGGTGTGGCCTAATAAGGAACATGGTTGATAGATTCTTGGTTTCTTCTAGAATGTCTTTAGCATCTTCTCATCCAGCATCCAAATCTTTGGCATCTGTGAGGTCATCACTGTTGGTTAGAAGAAAACTAATTACTAGTAGCAATATTAAAAATACTATAACTGCTTTCAAAGCTGGTCTGCACTAAATTTAGCACACAAGTCATTCTATTGGCTAGTGCTATAGCCTTGCCCACCTGTAAGTCTTTCAAAATGTAGAAATGCAAAGATTTGACATGCATGCAGCCACTCTCTTTGGTTGAACCTCTGGTGCCATGCTATCATTGGTTAAACTGTTGATTGTGATGGCCAGGATCATTCTATATTGTACATGCACTTAGCATCTTCCAGTAATACATTTGCATATATTCTGCCTGTGCATCTCATATCATTTCAATAGCTATGTCATACAATTGTGACTCTTGAGTAACAATCCATTCCCCAAGTACATTTCCCATGATCTTAAAATACAGAGTTCCAATACATTTTAAAAAACATTTCTGACAAGTCTCAAATGTCAGATTTCTTCCTACAGCCAGTTTGGATCTGCCCTGAGGTACAACAGGAAGTTTAATAGTTGCTCAGTTATCCCTGAATCTGACTTCCCCTATGACAAAATCTAGGCCCTCCTGAGGGTCTCGCAGGTACCTCTCCATGTAGGCATTGACCCCTGGCACCCCCTGGCTGCTGTAGTTGGAAAGGCAGGGCAGCTGGGCCAGGTGAGGCTTGAACTGCTTGAGGAGGTACACGGAACACTGGTGTGTGACCTTTCCATCTCCAAGGTCTTGGTCTTCTTCATTAGTCAGCTACCAAAGGAATGAACACAACAAGTGTCAATAAAATTTCAATATGACAGTTTTAGAGCATGCAAAATACAGAATTCTGAACTGCTTTATGTTAAGAATTAGTATAGTTTTGTACATAAATGAGGTGTAGACGATTTGACATACAGTCTGTATTGGTAAAATGTAGCCATTTCAATCCAATTGTTTCTACATGTATATTGGAGCAACAAGTACACAGCTGAGTGCAGCTCAGCATTGAGCTGATAGAGGGGGCTTTTGACCTGTGTCCTGTTTTGACCTATAGGATTCAAACAGCTACCATGGACTTTAATACAACACAAGCTCTCCTTTCCCCTCACTTTATGACAAATGTTTGACAAAATTATTGTAATGACCCCAAGTCTAATGTGAGAGAGTACACTTACCTGCTCTATTGCCAACGTTGTGTTTTGATAGAGTGAAGGGTGAGACTCGAAGTCGTCCAAGAAGTCTGCCATCTTCTGGTCAACGTCATAAATCTCTCCTTCCACATGCTTAAAGATGAGAATCAGATGATTGTATGAGTGGTATGAGTAGCTTGCAAAACAAAGATGACATATTCTGTATGTTAAAAGTGTTGGCAGATACGAAACCTTGCTTTTTTGGCCTCCCTTGTTAATCTTTGACTTCAATGAAATTCTTAGAAAGATATGTCAGTTATATATCTATAAGATATAGAGGAATATAGAAACTTTTATAGGTGAATTTTTAGTTTTGGCTATTTTGCTAAAATCAAAAACCACATCTTCCCATCGTATTTTTCCAATTTGAACTATTTATGGTATATCATATGTGGACTGACCTCTCCTTGTCCCCTGAGGTCCAGTAGGAAGGGAATGTTGTATTTTGAAGCCACGACCAGTGGCCAGCGGTCAACAGTCCGAGCTTTCCCCACAAACCTGGCCACGCCGTTGTCGGTGTTCACCATGTAGTGATAATTGGGCTGCCCTCTCTTCAAGGTCCCGTAAACAAAGACACGTATCATGGACATCATGGAACAGCAGTGATGGTAGTTCCTAATAAATGGCTTCGTCCCTGAGGTGTCGCCAAAAAGAACAGACATTCAGACGATAGATCTCTTGTGGCTATAGTTTCCACTATACATTATGCCTCCTTAATTATGACTAAGCACTTTGTATGAAGAATGGCTATACAACTGATTCTTCGTTTATTTTGTCTCTCTTGCAAATTTTACCAAAAGAAATAAAACATGTAAACGCCGATTGGACAAACCAAACATGTTGCTGGTGATTAAATTTAGTTCTGGAAACTTGGTCTCAAAATAGGCAATGGACTCTAACAACTCTAAGAAGTGAAATTGCAAAAAAATTTTTAAGTAAACTTTTATATCTCACCTTGGCAGGCTTAATTCAAAAGGCTTAAAACGAAATATTGGATTAAAAACACAGGGTCGTATTAAAAGCATTCCTTGCTCACATTTAAACTGAGTCAGACTTTGGAGAGTTTTGGAATTACTAATCAAAAGTGCACTTTCGTAGATTTCATATGAACTGGCACCTCCTCTCTTCCGGGTTCCTGAAAAGCTGAGAAAGCAACGACACGTAATGTTAACAGATTCAAATAAAGTGATGTAAACAGATTGTAGGTAAGAATCAACTCCATAAAGTAAAATTCAATTCATTATGGTCTTTAAAAGATGCAAGATACGTAATATTGTTTTAAATGAATCAATTTGATCACAAAGGCATAATAAAATCAAAATAGTTTCATTTACGCTTGCATGCCGTTTTAGATTAATACACTATATCTTTGGGTGAAGACCTTTAACTGAAATACAGTATAATCAACTTCACAAAAGGGTATTTAAAAACCATAATACGATATTTTGTACAATTTAACTACACGATAAAAGCTATTAACTTTTCGTATTTTGTTATTTGATGTATGAGTTCATATTTTTTAGACAAGTAATACTGTAAGACCCCTACTTATTGAATGTACTAACCCGTCATCCCGCGTCTTTCTATGCAGCACACAAAAATATTCGACTCGTACAAAATCGTATAAAAGGATATTTTTTTACGGATTTGCCTAATCTTACAGCTGCCTTGAGTCTAACAATCTGTAAAATCTGAACTGTAAATATGTCGTCTGCAAAATCTGAGTGGAAGAAGAGATGGCAGGGGGGTTTGGGCGCGCGGTCCTGGCAAAAATTCGAGTTGGAGGGTCAAAATTTTCTCCTGAAGACACATGTGGACCACAGGGAGGGCTACGAGTTCCTTTTCACCGACCTCACCTGTCTGTGGCACGAGAAAATGGACAAAGAAGAGGTCAAGAAACGATGCAAGGTAAGAAAGATGAATTCTTGTGGAGGTATGAAATTATAACGAACTCATTTGAGAGTGTTAGTATAAACCCGGAAGTCACATGTTCTAATCTGCAATTCGATGCCTGTTATTGTCTAAAAAATTAATTTCAAATTCGTTGAAATATTCCTCAACCTAGCTTGACTTACTAGTATGTGGAGAAAAGAACCACCAGGGGGCGCCCACTGTATATGGGTTGTCCATTTCAAAGGTTAAAGGTCAATTGCCATTTTTAAAGTTTATATGTTTTTGACATGTTAAGAAGCACAAGGTATGTTAAAACCATCACCCAAAATTATGATGAGAAAGGATGTAAGACCTTTTTTTAAATTTCCACTATATGCAAGATAAAATACTTGTATAGAGCCACAAACAGAATGTTTGTGGCTCTATACTGTCTAGAGATGTAGCCAGATCACCAGTCTTGGTGTCAATCATCTTTGTGCCAAGTGTGCCACTAAATTCTTTTACCCCTGACCTATCAGACACTGAACCCACGATTCGAAGCCCCCCTCCCAACCATCTTGAGACTTCTTCAAGACAACACAGAGACCAAGAAGGATTCCACCGACTATACCATTCAGCATCAGGGGGAGGTTCTGGTCCTGGTGCTGGAGACCAAAGTTGGTGGAATCCGCTTCACATGGGAGTTCCACTGTCAACAAGCACAGAAGGAAATGGTAGGACCACTACTCATTCCATAAGTGTGAGATGTGGATTTCCTAAAACATGGGACAGTCAGGACTAACCCTACCCGTAGCTACATGTCGGTACTCATTTTCAGTGCCAGAGAAAAGTTGAGCGGAGTGAGAAAATAGGTGTAAAGTGAGTTTTTCAATGGCGAAATATCAAGGGCTGACAGGGATTCGAACCCATAACCTTTGGATTCAAGAACTCTAACTAGAGATTAGAGCACTGGTCTAACCACAAAAGTACCCTGTCAACATTTTCTTGTGCACCTGTTACAGCTTCATGCTATTCCTTGTGCACCTGTTACAGCTGCATGCTATTTCTTGTGCACCTGTTACAGCTGCATGCTATTCCTTGTGCACCTGTTACAGCTGCATGCTATTCCTTGTGCACCTGTTACAGCTGCGTGACCAGCTGCTGGAGCCCCTGATGATGATGGTGGGTGAGCAGGGCAGGAGGGAGCGCAGACTTGGACAGCTGCTGAAGGCTAAGGACAGGGAGATCGAGGACTACAAAATGGGCGGAGCTACGGTCTCCAGAAGTAAGATGTCACTCTGTAGTACCTAACCCTTCAGTTTGATATACATGTACTTCTGTCAGGGAAATTTTAAGTACTACTGGTAAAGTGTAGTTGAAGTACTAAGGTAGTTTGATTCAAATTCAACACAACCTTCTTGGAAGTACCTTAACCTACCAGTATTTGTCAACAAATTGGAATTTGGGATGCACCTGTTCACATCTGAGTGCAGTTCAGCACTAAACTGAGAGAGGGAGCTTTTGAACTGTGACTCTTGATCTTAGTAGAAGTTGTTAAATTTTTTGCAATGCTGCATCAGGTGCGCCATCTACTTATCATAAAACTTTCCTTTAAGCTATTGTCAAGATACAAGTATGAATAAATTAGTAATCAGTTGGCTGTTTTTTGTTGCTATTACGTCATCATAGCAAACAATTCCAAAAGAAACATTTTTTCCTTCACAGAAAGTTTGCTGACAGAGCCATTTGATCCAACATCATTTAATAAAGAGCAGCTTGCTTCTAAGGTGAGTTTTTTAAGTACATGTATTTTCTTTTTACTTTCACATGTAAATCTAGTGCTATCATGTATGAGCAATGTAAATGGTGTCTCAATGACCATAAATCTTAAATCTGACCATATCCAATATCCGTTCCATGAGTTATCATATACCAAACTACAAACTTTTCCACAGTCTATTTTCTTGTTCATATGTACTTCTTTCTTTCTTCAAGTCAGAGAACCAAGAAATCGTTGTTTAGAAAGGATGTGTGTTGTCATTCGAGAAGTATTCAGCATATTCATTATATTGGAAAAAAGTGGGGTTAAAGGTTGACAGGTTTCCTACCCTCCCATGAAATATGTCGTCACTAAAGTCCAACACTCTCCAAGTGCGGACAGGTTTCAAACTATTCCACCTATGTACGGGGATCATGTCAGTCGACCGCGGTACCCTGCCGAATGCTTCCGCTTCGCCATAACAAGTTTTGCGTTCCGCTATTCGGACATAGGACAAACGCGCAGAAACGTCATCTGGCCTCCCGGGTGTTGTGGCGTGATGTTATGTTGTTGTAGAAGGTAAACAGGCCCTGAGGTATGGAGTTTGGGCAGAGCTGCTGAGTGACAAATGTGAGAACTTGACCGGCCTGAGGTTTCACACTTCTGAACATACCTGTGGTATATCATCACATATCAGGGCACTGGTACAGGTAACACTAAAAATTACCTGTGCCAGTCAAAAAGAAACCATTACCATTATACTTCATAGATTGTAATGGTCAAAATAGCAAATAAAAATCCACATACACCTGCACACCCAGTACATGGACTGGTGCAGGTTAGGTACAGGAAGACATCAGAAATACCTGCACAGCTCCAATTTTACCTGCACTAGACTGCGTATACCTAGTACATGGACCAGTGCAGGTTAGGTGCAGGTAGACATCAGAAATACCTGCACAGCTCCAATTTTACCTGCACTTACCTGCATATACCCAGTACATGGACCAGTGCAGGTTAGGTGCAGGTAGACATCAGAAATACCTGCACAGCCTCAACTTTACCTACACAAACCTCATATACCCAGTACATGGACAGGTGCAGGCTAGGTGCACGTAGACATCAGAAATACCAAACTGTTCCCAAGTTTTACAATTGTGACGCAATGTCAACTGTATGTCAACATGGTTAAAACTATTTGCCGGGGCTAGAACCCTGAACCTTCGGTATGTGTGGCGCATAGTTTGAGGGAAAATTACTTGACACCTTTTGTTTCTCCTGATGGCGTAAATTCTTTCCCGTCGAGCGATGCGAGAGACAAGTTGGCGTCTGTTCGGACAGGTTCACGGGTATGTCACCTCCGCCCATAAGGTCGAGGTTGTTTGGAAACGGTTCTCAAACTGCCAATGGCGAAGAAGAATCCCTCTTCTCTCCGGGCGGAGACCGTAACGTGGGAAATGCATTTTTTATGGTGTGGAGAAAGTAGGTGATGACAGACAACAGAGAAGACAGCTTTGCCGTGAAGAGAAAAAAAGTACAAATGGCTAACAGGGGCCTCTGAAATAGGTCTGAACTGTGATTTCCCATGCCAAAAACTGAAATTTTATCTTCATTTTCAACTGTTCAACTCCAGGTTTTGTCAAGGAAGTCCACTATTTTGTTTTTGGTCAGAACAATACTGTTCTAATACTTCTAACCTGTATCAGAATGATTTCTACAAAACACAAATGAATTTTCAAGCTAACATGCAGCCAATATGGTCTCCTCACAAAGTAGAGCAGGATGTACTCAAGGTTTCTTCTCCCCACTTTACCTTAAGAAGTTCTGAAGTGTTTTTTCCTGTCTCTTAAGTTCCTAGATATAGTCAAAGTGTGTAGTTGACACTTAGACTGGAGGGGCCAAACTGTTGCCTTTGGATAACCACTCCGTTTTTCGTTACCCGGGATACTTCCAAATATGGATAGCCAGTGTTACACAGTTTCTCAGTTTAGCAGGAAACTATATAGTTACTAGTATTCTACTAAAGTTATTACAACCCCCCTTTTTGTTACATTGGAATAATCCAATCCTATGTCCTTTTGCTTGTGTTGGAACCAGGAATTTGACACACAGGTGGGGCAGGGTTGGCAGGAGGCCTTCAGTAGGGAGAACCAGGACCTGTACAGGGAGGTGATGGTGACTCAGGCATGGGTCAACAGGGAGGAGGAGGAGGAAGAGGAGGAAGGTCAGATATTTTCATGACCTGAAATTCACAGTCTTCACCCCATTTCCTGTGTCTGATCATTTTCACCTGTGGATTATACAGTCAAGTGTGTGTGCGCGTGCGTGTGCATGTGTGTATATGTCTCTATGATTTCAAATTTACACAATATCCTCAATGCTCCTAATTTTCTGTTGGGCTAGAAGGGCTGCAAAGCAGTGTGGGTATATTAGGGTAGTGAGGTCTACCATCTGTAGTTGTTTGAAAACTAAAATTCTGATTGGGCAGTGTTCACTAAGCTTGTACCATTTTAAGTTTGTATTTCTAAATGCCTTTCTTGTAGGTTCAGATGAGGACACAATGCTTTTGGGTGGTACAACTACCCATCATGCCCCAGGAGCCACCAAGGGGTCACCGTCCCATGTCGAGGAGCAGAGGTCACCGAGTGTGTCACCACGGAAACGACCTGCCGGGTCGCCACTCAAGGGAGGGGGGGCCGTTTCAACACCTGAGAAATCCCAAAAGGTATGAATTTATTTCGTTGGTTCTTGTGCATTATAAAACATGTAAAAAGTTGTTAGTATGACAACACTGCTTTGTGTCTTTTTCTAAATTGCAGAAATACCTTTTTTTATGTCGATCACCTCTGACCACTTGTCCATAACAACCACCCTTGGGATGAAGGTCATTATACAATTTTTTTGTCCAAAGAAAGAAACATGTTTACCTCAGAAAAGTCAGTGGCTGTGCATATCTCGAGGGTTCAATCAATCCCCTGTGCAAATTTCAGGGCTTTTTAAGATTTACCGATGCAAAAAAAAAGGACTTACATTACAACAACATCAGAATTTACTTAGGATAAGAGTGCTTGGGTATGGAAAGGACTACACCTCTATTTAACCCCAAGAGGTTATATTTTTCTTTGGTGTCAAAAATGAACCGAAGGCACAAAATGAAATCCGGATAGCTGAGAGGAAAAGCTTGAGTATGACATTTTTCCTTCTCTGTGTGTATCAAATTACAAACTTTCCCCTCAGCCTCTGTTTTCATGATCATATTTCACTTCAGCATCATTTTTTTTAACGCCAAGAACCAGAGAATTGACTTGATGTGGTCTCAGAACGATCCAGAAAGGAGACCCTAAGGTTGGCTTTATAAAAGATTTCTTCCACTCTCCTGGGTATTTACCTATCTGTGCAGCAGATGGATTATACAGTGGATGGTAAACAGAGTGGCTAAGCTGCTGATGTACAACTTTGATCCCTTTTTACACACCGGGTGTTTGGCCAGGAAAAAGGCACTTCTGTTTAGATCCTTGCGTCTCCCAGGGAGGGCTGAAAAGAGCAGTTTGTTAGCAAGTAGGGATTAATATGGAAGACCGCTAGACTGCCCGGACTTACTGAGAAATAAAAATTGGCAACTATAGTCCTAACAAAGGGAGTGCAGTGTTTCAGTGCTTGGGGAGCCTTTGAATTTGAGGGCTGTGGTGGACTACTGCAAACCAGCAAACCACAAGAGAGCCACAGTTTGCCTTTGAGAATGGCAGACATATTCAGATTGATTTACCTTTGTGGTTCTCAGGTGTAACAGTCACACAACATATCCCTGTCCAAATTGTACCCAGGGTTTATTCTGACCTGCGTGGATTTTGGCCTGTTACACTGGGGACCAATTAGTAAATGTATACTGCTTGAGGTAGAGTGCCAAGCAATACCTCATACTGCTGTGATGCCTCATGGTCAATTAACACGATTCTACCTACAAAAAAAAAAGATACACAAACCCCCATCCCAGCCACCCAAAACATCACTTCCTTCCCTGGAAGTATAATTGATTGGTGTGGCACTAAACAGTATTGGTTAATCTGTACTGACCATTCAGGACCGCTGACCGGTTAATCTAGGTGGGAAAATTGATCTGCATTAAGCTGCCCCTTGTCGTGATTAAGGGTGAGATAAGTTTGATGGGCAGTGGCCTGAGTGGGGGGCTTTGTCCACCCATACATTAACCATTCTAACTATAGACAACCTCAACAATTCTGAGCTGTTTGTGCCACTGTGGTACATTTTAGTGCCGCCCTGTGACAAGGGTTGGATGTCGTTGCGGGATTAACTTTTCAAGATAAGTTTGATTACTTCAGGTCGGGACAGTTGACAGTCGTGTCTGAGTTTCTTCCTGTAGATAAGATGAACTACCCAGTCACTTTTGTTGTAGGACAGGTTTGGTCACCCTGTCTTTGGACCAAGAGGTTGGGAGTTCAAATCTTGGCTGTTGTTGCTCAGCATGCACACTAGTGAAAAGGGTCGCAGTCTTTAGGGTGGGACATTAAGCGAAGGTTTATGATGTTCTTCCTTCCGATTTTGTTGGTACAATGAAGCTATAAATACTTACATTAAAAAAAATACACCTTCTCTGTCACACCCAGTGGAAGATTAGCTCTTCGGTGAGCTTAAACTGGATTGGAGCCTCTTCGAATTCATTATATAGTTCAAACATCAGATAGAGTTATAGATATGTTTTAGGTGTGATGAGGTGTGATATAGCAAGCTGCTGCCACCTGCCTGCAAAGCTGGTGTGTTACGCTGGTTGACCAATTCAAAATGGGAGCTGCCAAGCCCAGGAGACCACTGTCCACACACACACACACACATGCACGCAGGCACGCACACACATGCACACACACACGCACACACACACACACACGCACACACAGAATAGCAGAAACAAACACACACACACAGCCCTTTACAGATCACCCTCCCCATGATTACATCATGTTCGTTAAGCCGCGACGACAGCCGATCATTCACGTCCGCTCACCGACTAATGTGGAGGGGGGAAATTACCAGCGTTGGTGCGGCCGTCGGCGTGATTTGGGACGAGATAAGTTTGATAACCACTGGCCTGTACAGTCAGACCTGATGACATGACAGGTACGGACATGAATGGCCTGATTACTGTCATGAGATTTCTTTGGAGTGGAGGTGCTTTGTTGAGTCGTCTTTGTTGATTTTTGTTTCATTCCTGTGCAGAAGAACACACATGGCATTTGAATTATCATTAGGCTAAATGGTACATACTAAAAAGTATTATTATGCCCACAAAATTGTAGTAATATCAAAGAAACATTCAGTAGAAAGCCTGTTATTCATGCTATTGTAACTCAGATTTGTTAGTTACAAGTATGTTTGTTTGTTTGTTTGTTTGTTTTTATTTATTTAACCAGGGGGATACATATCGCCCGTAGGGCGCTTTTCAATGAGCCCTGGGCCTGGGGAAGACCCCAAACAAAAACATCAAACTCAAACTAATACAAATAACAACAAAAGTAACTTATAAAGTTACAAAAGTTACTAAATAATACAAAAGCAAGGTAACTTAAGTAGCATACATTGCGCATGAAATCATAATACCAAAATAAGTGAAACAAAAGTGAAGCCTGACCATCATATAACATAGAACCAAAGTAGGACAAAAAAGAAATCAAGATTAAAATCAGGCTTGGAATTTGCATATCAATGATTACCCAATACATAAAGTTCTTTGAAGGCTGCTAGGGTCCTGGCTGCTTTTAGGTGATGTGGTAGTGTGTTCCACAATACCGCCCCACAAGGAGCACATCACTTAGAGCTTTTGCCGATACAATGTATATATTTTGAGCAAATATTCATTTATTCAAACCCCAGACTGTTCAGCAAGAGAACCAGTCTCAGACTAGTGAATACCAGACCAGGAATTTGGAAATGAGAAATGTCATTTCCAACAACAGACCTAATGTATTGTTGCTTGTGCCTGGTACAACCTTTCCTGCACTTACATGGGACACCCTGTTTATCGAACACATACTTGAAATTGCAAGACCTCCATTGTTCTCCTGCCACACCTGTCGTCTCTTCAAGTGGCATTTTCCTCCTTCAGGTGAAGCTGTACCTGAACCCATTGTCTCACCTGTACAGGTCTCCAAGGTTAGGGGAAACCGTGCACACCTTTTTCATGCGTCAGTCCTCACTTAGCGGTTGTGTCTTCCGTTTTGCTAATGTCCCATGTGAGGGAAAACTGTTATAAACCCTTAAGAAAGTTGCTGTGCCGTGAAGTTACGTCAGGGAGTTTTTGTAGGAAGCAGAATTTTCCTCAGGCATCAGGGGTGGCAAAGTAGTTAGGGTTGTTGACTTAGAATCCAAAGGTTCTGGGTTCAAATCCCTGGCAGGCCCCATTGTTGTGTCCTTGGGAAAGCACTTAACACCGATTTCTTCATTTGGCTCAGGTGAGGAAATTAGTACATGTACCTAGCTTTGGTTAGGGATGTCCTCTCCAATGGAACGTAAAGCCGAAGGTCCCATGTTCAAGCAGAGCCACACCCACCCCACTTATCAAAAAGAGCAGGGTCCTTCCTGGTGTGAGTGGTTCAAACCTTAGGTCTGGTTTCAGGATTGACTTCTTGAAGAATTCACAAATGTGGCAAATCTTAGAATGAAGTACTGTCTTCTTGAAATACTAACGGTTTATGAGACAGTCCCTTCCAACCTTGCAGGATGGTCCCCATGAATGTCTACCTTGATCAGGGGAGGAGAAGATGCTATGTTGCCATGGCAACAGTGATCCCATGATGCCTTGTTGTTTCAGCAAATGGGCCAGGATATTTGACATGGCTGCTGTGACTAAAACTGTGATGATTTCAAACTGAACGGAACAAATAAACAACAAGTAGTTTATGTTTTGGCAGAGTGACTCCTGAAGGTCTCCTGCTAGTGATCTAAGCTAGCTTGAAGGGTTTTGTTTCTTTTTTTCTAAAATTAGTTTGTGGAGGTTGCTTCTAATGACATTGCAAATTCCTTTCCTATTTATTGGTAGACAGCTTTTGGGCCTGGAAGAAGTTGCATACATGCTTGTTTTGGAACTGTATTAACATTTTTGTTGAAACTTTGGAAAGAAAGAGGTCAAAAAAGGATGGATGGACTGGTAGTTTTGTCATGGGGGTAGCTTAGACAAAGATGCATACAATAATTTAGAATTTAGTTTACATTACTAGTTGACATTTTAAAGTAATGTAACATGTATCACTCATGCAAATACATGTAATCTCAAAGAGAGTGGTGGAATTTAGTCTACTGGTCATGTTAAGGCAGAGAACACCTGTGGCAAAAGAAGGGTGTTTAAAGATTTAGACCTTGGTCTCACCTGTCCAGGCCTATTGTGCTGTGGCAGGTGTCCCTCCACAGGTGGTCCCCCTAAACGTTACAATGGAATCATCCATCATCAGGCCTATCATCTGTATGGAGGTTGACGGACAGTTTCTATAAATGTTATCTCCTCGTATCATCATGAAATGACAGGCTGCTCTTACACTGTTTTACACCAGTTTGATTAATTAGTTCTTGGATTTGTCTGCTTCATTTTTTTCTGATTTGCAACAAAAAGGTATTTAGGTTATGAATCAACTAAAAAATGCTCATATTTTGGTCCAAACAGTATAAGACAGTCCTTGTCTTCCTAGTTGTTGCAGTTTTTCCACCCAACAATGCAGTGATTTGATTCAGAGTTCAAGATTCATTGTTTGCATTATAAACCAGCCCGGACTTATACTGTTTTTGTGGAAAAGAAAGATGATGAAGTTAAATCTCCATCAGTATACAGAAGATGCAGCGCTGAATGAATAATACATACCATGAGTGGCACTGGACATGGACGTTTAATAAAGGGACAATCACATCAATATTTAACCACAGTATGAACCCACCATCATACATCATTTTCCTACAGGTGTGAATACTGTATGACTGGTCTCAACACTGGTCTCCAGTCTCCCATAGAGTTATGTAATCATCAAAGTCCCAATAACTAATTCATCATCAGTGAATACCAGACAAAGCAAATTTAAAATCCTTCCCAACCCTTTTGATGCATGAGGGCTGTGCCCATCTCCATTCCTGTTGCCCTCAGGCCACACTGTTTTGCGAGCGCTATGCGTAATTGTGGTAATGGTGTGTGTTCAATTTTCATACTCAAAAGTGCAGAGTGGTTAACAGAGAAAGCTGTATGTACCTTTCCTGAAGTCTTTGGTATGGCCCAGATGGGATTCGAACCCATGACTATTACACATCCTTGCTCTTTGTCTATAGCAAGAGTAGGTCCTCATGTGACCAAACATTGCTTGCATTATGTATTCATGCCGTATTTGTTGTTTGTTTGTTTGTTTGTTTATCTCCAGGATATAGAACTAATGAGACGAGAAGCTCTGCAAAAAAGACTACAAGAAGAGGCACAGAGGAAACAGGCCAAGAAGAAAAAGAAAGGAGCTCTTTTCTAGGTAGCAAAATGTCAATCATCATTTTTTTTCACAATTCACATGTTTTGTTCACTACTTGTTCTTGTTATGTTCAGTTCACGTTGAATTGCTGAAAAACTTAGGTAATTTAGTTCTTAAGAAACAACAAAAAATAAATATAACAGATTAAGACACATTTGTACAAAATTCTAAATAAGTTCAACACATCAAAACTTTATTACATATCTACGTCCTATGACAAATAGACACACGCACAGAATAACATTATACCACAGTACCTACTGATTTAAGTATAGTATGATGCTTAACTTTACTCCAACACAAAAGGTACATAATACTATTAACACAGATGAACATGCATGATAATTTGATTTAAGTATGTTAATGGTTAAAATCCTCAAGTAAAAAGATGCTTGATATGTCATGAAGTGAGAAGGTACATTTAGAGTGCAAGGATTACATTGTGCACAGTGCATTCATTCCTTGCAAATCCAATCACATTCAGGTAGATTTTGAGATTTCAGTAACATACAAGACGATGAGATCAACCAAGGTTGCTTGCAGATTTTGTTTCATAAAAATAGTTCAAATCATTCAACACAATATGAATGAGAGGTTCCAAACTTCAACAAAGGAATTGGTATAGACGACTAAGGTGTGGTCAATGAGGGAGAGTTTCACAAGTTCTAAGGTCACAAATGGATGTATTTTGCTTAGCAACATAAACTATTTCAAACCCCTTATTTCAAACTCATTCATCAAATGATTCTGGGGTTCTTCTGCATTTCATCTTCCAGCACCAACACAATTACACCTCATGCAAGCTACAAGCAACGTGTCAGAAGTAAATAAACTTTGAGTACAAGAAACATGGTATAGTTTTGATTTTGGGATGTATTCAGCCTTTTTGAAATCACCCTTTCTAGTTTTGCCAGTATTCCTGTTTCTAATTCTAATTCTGTCTTTAATTCTCAGCTAAGCATGCCCATTAATATATCCGTTGGTATGCATTCTAGACTTTGACATCATTTTCTTACAATAAAGGTCAGAAATAGTTTAGAGTAAAAAGTAACACAGTAGTGCTGGGTAATAAGTAGGGGACTAGAATGACCCCAGACTACCCCTCTATAACTGATGTCTGCAATTAGTGGTCGGACTAAAGAGGGGGTTTTCCATTTCATAGATTAAACAGATGTCAATTTATCCGCGCAATAAAGAATTTATGTGTCCATGTAATATTCCTATAGTGCATCTGGTGATGAATTGTGTCGTGGGAAGGGTTGTTTTAATTCTCTTCCACTCTTACAGTTACAGATCACATGCCAGACTTTTAGTTGTCATTTTAAAAATGCGTGTATAAATTACTACTACCACGAGCAGGGGATTCGCTGCTGGCAGGCCTGCCAGTGCTCCAACTGTTCCAGATGGTGTTTGTCCTTAGTGCTGAAACATTGGTTAGGCTAATGGTGGCGCTTTCCAATTAAGAGCGGACTCTATGCTTTTTACATTACTCTCAGCAACACCGTGTAAGGTCTCAAGGGAGGCCGTTGGGCAACCAATGACCCACCAAGAATCCTTTAGTCGCTGAGATGACGGAAAGATCGTTGAGAGGTCACCGTAAGACCTTTGAGATCATTGAGAGACCGCTGGGAGATCTTTCAAATGTTTGGACGGTCAACGGTTTTTCAAACGGTCTCACCGCTGCGGAATCCCCACTGAAGAGGGACAGGTTATCTAAACTAACGGCAGTTCCACTCATAGACTCCGGCATTTGCAACGCAGAAGAGTGTTTTTGCATAACCCTAAACATTACATCAGCGTGTACCGCTTCTTCAAAGCTGTATGCCAAATACCTCTGCACGGGAAATAAAGAACGCATCATTTCAACAATGCTTTGAGGGATGGGTGGGTCCGGACAACGACTGAACACATTTTCGTAATGTCTAGTCCTTTTGTCAAAGATGAAAGACCGACGCTAGTGAAGTTAAAACAGGGTTTGAAGTGTTTGGGCGTGTCGCTTACTTTGTCTTTGAGAGAAGTGGGACGACTTGTCGATAACAATGAAAACAAAGATGTCAGGAAAACCGCAGGGTATGGGTGGGACCGAACTACGTCAGTTCGAGTGGGGGAGTCCTCTTGACATACTAACATAAGCACCGGAGTTATGACGTGCTTAATTTTACCCCGTGGATACGGTGTAGTGGGCTATTTGAGAGGGCAACATAGGAGTCAGTTATCGTCCACATAAGAGGTTTTTATAGCGCTTTTTACGCAGATACATCTGACCACATAGTGAACTAGTCTGCTAATGATTTGTGTGACATTTTAGCAGGAAAGTATTATGTCCTACTTTTCTCATAGGGCCACACCCAACATTTCAAACCATGTTTAACCTTTGTTAACAACGATCTTTTATCTTTGACAAATTAGTAGACATCACGAAAATGTGTTCAGTCTTGAAATGACATTATACGGAACCACCCATTCCCAATAGGATTGATGAGAACAAAATCTTTGTTAAACAGTATTTGTTAGGACGTTTTACGAAAGTAGAACGCCCCGGAACAGGTGTCAACGAACCCACCAAAATGCAGGTGTGGCTGCTGATCTGTCATATAACATTACCTAACAGTACGTACCTACGTGTATCTCAATCAGCAATATTGGCCAGCTGTTGTATTTAGAACCGTGCTTTATCCAGCACGGTTCTGGATATTCCACTCTCGTACGCGTATCCAGAACCGTGCCCGGGGCAAAACTACGTTCTTGGATACGCTGGGACTATGCAGATCTGTGCCTGATCCTAACCCTAAGAGGCAGAGAACTAGATAGGCACGGATCTGGATACGATACCAGCGAAACGTCAGGAAATAATAGATAGTTTCTAATCTTTATACTTTTGAATAAAGGCAAGGGTCGTTGTAACACCATGATCAGTTATGATTAGTATTCGGTTATCTTCTACTTACGAATGTCCGCATTTTGTGATTTTGTAAACTTCAGTAATAGACTTTCTTCCCATTGTTTCATTGTTACTATTTTCAATAAATAGAAAAAATGTCACAGACTAGTATTATGCATACCTGTTCGGTGTAGTATAATTATATAAACGTATAGTTGTTGTCGACACCATCGCACATCCTAACCGATGGGCAAATAGAACGTCGCAGTTGATTGTTTCTGAACGGCCTTTGTATCCATGTATACATAAAGTGTGCACCAATATAATTGATGACTGAATATCAGGAATAAATCATAAACGGTCAGCCACAATAGTCTGGTAATGATATATCATACATCACACGTCACTTCTTTTTATGAATGGCCGTCACGTGATCTACCGATCGACACGCAAACTACATTGATGAAGAACAGGTGGTAATAGAGGGTACGTGACGTCATCAAAAATTAACGCGTTTAGGGCAACTTTCTCTCGAAGGGTGTTCCCTACGTTTTTTGCAGGCTGAGTTAAGCATGCGTTTCATCCGTAGATAACAAACAGTTCTGCAAGTATATTCTAGCAAATAAACCTTCCAATTGCGCTAATGAAAATGTTAGTATATACTTCTGCTATTTGTTTGGGACTCACTAGAAATATTGAATTCTGTATCATGAGTAAAACCAAATATAAGATTTTAAATACTCAAAGGAAACATTTAAAGCATTCTTTTTAATAAAAAGCCCTCTGAGTATTTCAGTAGGTTTCCGACTGACAGCAAACCTTGCGATCTAACTGACCTGGTGTCAACCCAGACAGAAAATGTGACCGTTTTGATTGATCATCGATTAAAATATTAATGAGTCGGGACTTCACCTCGAACTTCCGGACGGAAGGCGGGAATTCCCTGTCGTGTCAGGAGATGTGCAGGTATGAAAGGTTTCAGCAAGAGATTTATATAGTGCAAAAATGTCAAGGACCTTTATAATCTAACGGTCTTGCCGGATAGTAAAGTGGGGATTCAGCACAGGCGAGACGTCGGTTAGACAGCTGAGATTCAAAATTCAAATGCGGCCGATGACTTAACGGTCGTTTAGTGCCTGGGCGCTCAATGATCACGAATGTCTCCAAGCGATCTTTCAATGGTCTTGCAATGATCTCTTAATGACCTCCAAAGTCGTCATGAATTCTAGATTATATGTTCATGATCTCAATTATCTTTTAATGGTCTCTAAGGTATTCCGATGATCTTCACGATTTCCCAGTGATATTTCAATGATCAATGATGCTGGTATCTCATTGGTTGCCCGACGGTCTCCGTTCTGTGGAAATGGGAACTTCTGATTGGGCACAGCAGCAGTACTGAAGACTCGCTACTGTGATCCAATTTCAAATCACGCTTGGAGTTTTGATAAGCTTCTACCTTTCTCTTTGGCATGCTGACCCTTTCTCCTAGTTGAATTTTATGTTATATTAACAGCGCCCTATTAGAATTGTACTTTATTGAACCTCTAGGAAAGCCGCTGGTTGTATCTGATTCTCGATTGCAGAGTCACGCACCACCAAAGCGTAGTTTTGTTCTTTACATGTACGAAATGTATTATTCCTCCTAGCAGGTATACATAAAGCAACGCAAGTATCTTTGTAGCCATTTCAGTCTTCGTTCGTTCACTGCCCTTTGTCGTTGCCTGAAACTGTATTGACGGCAATGACGGAGGGTAGACAGGTCCCCAGGCCTACCGACATACAGTAGTTGGCAGCACAATTGCCCATCTGGCTTGAAGTTGTTTTCGAGAAGTGCAAATGTCAGCAGGGCAGCTATGTATATACAGGATGGACAGCAGACACAGAAGCGCAAAGTATTCCTTATTTAGCCATTTCCATGAAATGTCGAAGGTTTTCCGTGAAACTCGCAGGTGTGCGATACCTAATGGGTGCGTGTGTTCTCCGCAGGTTTTTATCTTTGCAAACGGTAGCTGAGGCTGCATTAGGCCGGGGTAATGGGGCGGTGTTTGTGGGAGGATTACGGGTAACCTGCCGTCTGACGGCGATACGACAGGTGTGACGCACGGCAAACGTGTGCAGGTGAAACTAGATCCACCTACGAACACATTACCATGCCAGTGTGATACATGATTCACCATTAGATTTACCTCAACACAGTTACGTTTTGAAACAAATACGTATGTGCACTGCTAGATTATTCTTTGCTGCTGCCTTTGTTCTGTACTTTTCTCATACTTGAGAACCTCTACTATTTCTAAAGCAAAAGGTTCAAGCTGAGGAAACGTGATAGCTTTGTATTTATCTTGAATCTAGGAAGTAGAAATCTGCCATATTACCGCATAGGAA